AACATAGTCCCCTATATCATTCCAGCTGATGCATTTCAACCATCGCGGTATGTCAATTCCGCCATAGCGGCTCTCATCAGAAGAGCGATGCTACTTCCCTCATCGCAAGCTCTAATAAAAGTCGAACTGGAAATCGTAAGAACGGCAGTACATCACGCTGGATTCACAAGTGCCAAATTTACGCATGTACTACGTAGGGTAAAAGATTCCCTTTTCCCGTTTACCACACTACATAGCAAAAAAGAAATGTCTAGAGTACAATCAGCACTGCCGTACCTAGGAGCACCGTCCATACTTATTAGCCGTATTTTCCGGCGATACAGCTTTACTCTTCCTTTAACTACCCTACCCAACCTACGCAGGAGTATATGCAATGATCGGGATAAAGTCGACGTCTTAGAAAAATCGGGAATATACGCAGTGCAACTGGAAAATCCAGTAACGGGGACAATTGAGAAGTATATAGGGGCAACGACAAGAATGCTTGCTTGCTGTATCGCAGAACATCAGGATGATATAAACAAAGGAAGACAGACCACAGAGCTTGCCAGAAAAGTTCTATAGCAGGGCTATAACCCGTTATGGTCAAAAACAGCGTTGCTCAGAAGCTGTAACAACAGAAGAATTACATTTATTTGGGAAGCGCTCCTTACAATGACCACAGACGCATGCAATGTCCCCACACTCGACTTGCCCGAAATATGGGTTACTTTATACCAGCGTTTAAACAGCAAAAAGCGCCAAGAGTCGCACAATTAGTACGATCACTCCTCAACGCATGCACTGCTAGTCGTGTGGATTTAAGATATTTCGAACGCTTGCAAAAACTTGTTGCATGTGACCAACGGATTTACCGAACGTTATAATTTAGAAATTGACAAGAAAAATTTTTTGTTTTCTACTTGGAACACTCTGCACGTTCTAATTTTCAAATTTGTTCTTTTTTCACCTGAGGACGATGATATAATACTCATCGAAAGTACTTGCGATATAAGAAAAATCATATTAACACTGAACTCAGTGCTTTTTATCAAGAAGCTATACAATTTTGGCGTGAGTTTTATTTATTTATCTATTTCTAATCTCCACATAAACGTACACTTCCATCTGGTTTTGCAATGGGTACCAAAGGAGTGGCCCACTTAGGAGTTATAGAACCAGTTAGAACTTCTAACTGATGAAGTCGAATTAACTCTTGTTCTACCTTGTTCTCAATGCAAAAGGAACCTGTCTTGCCCGCATAAAAATAGGCTTAGCTTATTTATTTATCGCTAAACTGACTGCCTCGTCTCTAAATAGACCCATTTCTGAATTATTGAATAAATGCTGGAATTCTTGTATCAGATCTTCTGCATCATGTTGGTGATATAGTCCCTCTGTTCTGATTCCTAATGGTTGAAACCAATTTCTTCCAACAAGTCCTGGTCCATTTCCTTTAATCACTAACAATGATAGATTCATAACTCTTCCTCTAAATTGTACACTCACCATTGTAGTGCCCACTACCTCCAGATTCTGATCTGCCCATGTCTGTAATTTGACTTCTCCCGGTTCTAACTTGTCTCGCTGGATTTTAATTTCTTTTAAGGTCTGTTCACTCACTACAATGTACCCAGCCCCTGAATCAATTTCCATCATGACTGGTATATTTTCAATATTGATTAAAATTTTTAAGGGTGGTATCCTACTTCCACGTATTTTGAATAGAGATGCTTCGATGTTAAATTTTTATATTCCTCAATTCGGTGCACTTTGGCTCTCTGGCTGGATACCTCTTTCCGTTGTGGTCCAATTTGGTTTCTTCCTTGGTTTGGAATTTTTCTTCCTCCACTCTTTTGTTTTGTGATACATGCTTTTTTTATGTGTCCCTTATTTCCGCAGAATTTACAGATTACCTGAGCAAATCTGCAATTATTCGGGTTATGACTTCCGGTGCATCGAAAACAGCGTAATACGGCCAACTCGTTCTTTCTCTTGTAGTCCGCCTTTAAGTTATACACTTGGGCGTTGTGTCCGTTTGACCCAAGCTGGCTAACATCTTTAGATGCTGCCTCTGCTGCCAATGCTGCATCCAAAATGGCCTTATAAGTAGTGTCCGTTTTTGCCAATAACACGTGTTGTATTCCTTTATCCCTTAAACCAGTCACTAGCCTATCTCTTAACATACGCTCTAGTGAGGCACCAAAGTTGCAATTCATTGCAATTTTCCGTAGTTCCGCGACATAGTTGTTGATACTCTCTCCTGGTTTTTGCAACCTCTGGTTAAATTTGAACAATTCGACGATTTCACTAGGTTTCGGGTTAAAATGACTATCAAGAGCGTTAAGTACTTCATTAAAGTTAACTTGTGGTCGTTTCTTTCGGGGCTATGAGTGTTACTACAAGTTTATATAGAGTTTCACCGCACACAGTAAAAAATAAAGCACACTTATCTTGGTCATTTTCAATGTGGTTTGCCTTCAAGCAAAAATTAAAGCGGTCCTTGTAAGTTTTCCACTGGCTGTCCATCCTGAATGGCTCGAAACGAACTGCACTGGTTGATGTTCCTGGGATCGACATTTCTGGCTTTTGATCTCGAATTGTAATTTCTGCTGGTAAGTCTTTATCTTAATCCTCGTTGCCACTTTTATATCGCTTTTGTTTTCAACACTGTTGTACATAAAAAACACGTAGTTAATCAACAATTAACTTTATTCCATCTCGATACAACCGACTGGGGTGACGACTACACTAAGAACTCTCCCCAACTCCCAAAAGGTATGTTGCAATGTTCACTCTTGACCCGACACTCAGATCAAGTTACACAGATAAGTCACAACGTTACAACACACTCACTGTTGACAGAATTCAACAGATAGAGCAGTCACACTAGCAAGAGAAAGCAGGGAAAATGGATGACTGCATCATGATCATGTTCTCAAGTGTCTAAGAAGAATTGAAAAGAAAATAGTATAAATGTTGTACATAAATATTTTCAGCTAGTTAAGCCCAACTAGTTAGGCTTAACTAGCAGGAATGTTTTTCCCATGCTGTTTCCAAGTTTGGAACGAAAACTGACTGATTACAAGTTTAGGTTATAATAAAATATTTATTCTATAGCCAATCCATATCAATGGAATTCAAGTCATGTGGACTACTACAAAAAGAACAAGAGGTATTCCAGACTAACACAATTAAGAGAGCTTTTAGCTTCTGAACACGGAATCATCATCATTTTGTATTTAATCTGGACCAGTGCTGCCACCTGCTTCTGGTGGAACTACCCTGACGGCACCTTCATTTTACCCCAGATTACCCTAGATTGAGAAAACCCTCCAAGCTTGACTGACCATCATCGAACTCATGTTCAGATAAAAAAAAAATAATAATAAGAATGATTCTATGATGCGGATCTCTACTATTATCATAAAATAATAATCGGAACAATTCTTAATTCGTTGTTTTTAAAAATCTTAATAACTAAAATGTCGTAGGTGATATTAATTTACATTTGATATGGAAATAATTGATGTTTTAGTTTGGTAATCCAAATTTGATAAATGAGAAAAATGGTCTTTTAAATAATAAAATATATCCATAAGTCTAATGAGTGCAATTATTTAACTTAATTTTAATTAATTCACTTTCAACATGTGTGTAAGAACGCCGATTGGGGGGATTTTTATTCCCTACCGTCGGGATGGTCTAAGGTCTTAGCGTATGTGGGTGGCGGTTTGTAAAGGCAGCAAAGACAAGTGTTTACAAAGGTAAACTGTTTATTTCGGACGAATATGCTTACACAATTTTTAGGCTTCGGTGCTGGTCTTGCGTTGTTGAGAATTTCGGCGGTGATCTTGTGCGTCGTCGTAGGGGCCCCTGGACAGTGTTGAGGAGAAAAAAAGTTCGATGTCTCGAAAGTCGATGCACGAAAGATGGAGATACACGAATACAACAGAAGTATAGGTGGAAGTCTTGGTGGAAGTAGAAATCAAGTAGAAAAGTCCTGCTGTCCTTGAATTTTGCGTTTTTATAGGATTTTTGCGATCGACTCCTTGTCAATTGGATAGATCTTACATCACCGTTTTCCAATTGGCCATCCAACTGACTCCAGGTGTAAATGGAGCTTCGTTAAGTTCGTGGAAAAGGTCGACTGGAGATGGTTTATCCGACACCATCTTTTCGAATCCGATCGCGTTTAATTGTTGACTATGACACCTTCGCTCATCTAGTCATTTTTTTATCTAGTTTCGTTTTGCTTTCTAAACTGCGTCTTAAATATTTTAAATTTTTTTCTTTTTACATCTAAATTTTGGTTTTTCGGTCAACTTTTGATGAGCATCGACGTCAAAGTCGGGTGTCGCCGATTCGACACTTATATATTTACTTTCCTGACGATTTAACATAACAAATTTTTACATATTTTCCCTTTTTGGGGGAGGGCTATTTCCAGGGCTTCACATGTGTTGCGTATCTTATCTGAAGATAGAAAATTAAATAAGTTATTCACTTAATTTCAAGCATACTTTAATATGTAAATGATCAGTTTTAAAAATTCATTTACTGTATTTACATATATATTTGCATTTTAACATTCATTTTGAAGGTTCAAATGAAACAATATTTTTTTAATACTGGACTGTGCATGCATTAGGTTACAAATTGTTTCAGTTTTCAAAGAATATCTGTGCAATGTCTTAAACAAATGTAGCTGACTAAATATTCACTCAACAGATGCATTGGAAGCTGGTACAGTAGAACCTCGAAAACTCGGCTCTCGATAACCCGGCACTCCGGATAACTTGGCCACACCCTGGCAGGGCAAAAAAATCCTTAGTTAATTAATTTTCATTATAGACAGCTTTATAAAAGTATAAAAGCTCTCATAAAGTATTTTTCTGAGATCTGTCTTATCAGGTAAATTACTGTACACAGTGTATTCATTAATTTTCATTTTTATGTAGTAAAGGTTCTATGCCTTCATAAAGGATGTACTTTTCCTTCGTTTAAGGGTATTTGGGCAGTTTATTCTCTGTTATATTCTCAAGTAAACAATACATACAAGTACAGTACAGTATTTTCTGAGGAAACATTCGTACTTATTTTTTTTAACCCATTCCCGATAACCCGGCATTTTCACAAACTCGGCCACCCTTTGGTCCACATTAGGCCAAGTTTTCGAGGTTCTACTGTAATATCAATAACCTCAACAATTTTTCCAGGTTTTTGAAACAAACTCTCCAGCAGCATTTTTTAAGTTAAGTATTTCTGACAAGTAGGATCTGACAGTATGACATTTTGACTCCAAGTTAAGTAGGGCTTGTTTATGCCATTCATTGTCTACAACTTGTAAATCAACCTTAACATTTTTAAACTTTTTAAACAATGGCTCCAAAAACCTCACTGTTCAATTTTCCGAATTTTCAGGTTCAAGCAAAAGCAGATATGAAAAATTGTCATTACTGAAATCAAATCTGACATAGATTTCTTTTACAAGTGTACAATAAAAACTTCTACAATAAAAGCATCAGATCACAGGGCAGTGTTACCCTAGATTTACCCTAAATATATTTACCCAGAACCCTGAAAGGTTGAAATGACCCTAGAAACGGCAGCACTGATATGGACCATAAAAAATTACTTACCAGAACCATTTACGGTGTGATCACGTAAAAAGATTGATAAACATTTTCGAACCCCATCTGGGCTCTGCTTCAGGTTCAAAAACGTTTGTTTATCGATCTTTTTATGTGATCCCACTGTAAATGGTTCTGGTATGTAATTTTTTAGTAATTCCGGTATGATGAGTAGTGAATTATCTTTACTGGACTATGAATTTAATAACCGGCCTGGTAGCAACACTAGTCACTAATCTCCCATGATGCAGCACTTTTATGCAAGCAAATGTTGTATAGTTTGCCCGCGTAGCTTACCTAGCAAAAATGGCTCGTAGCCTTATGAGAAAAAGGTGGGACTTTGGAGCGTGACTGAGCGTACGCCTCCCATAGTTTGTGGCAGCTCTAAGGATTTTTCATGAATGGTCTGTTCTAATTATGTTAGGTCCCATTCCTCATTACCAGTTATTCCCATTGTAGGTTTGATGAATAGATGACTTTATTATAAAAAAAGGGGGGGGGAAATACTTTTATAACACAAAACTCTTGGTTTCAAGATTAAACTTGTTCCATTTTATAATGTTTTAGGCCAGGATAGAAGTCACATAAGACAAATACATAGTAGATTCCCTACTTAAAGGCATCTGGCAGTTCTGTCATCTCTGACCAGAGTATTCTTATCAGAATCATTCTCTTCTTTCATATGAGAACAATTCTGAAATTTATCATCAGTGTAAAGTTTTTTGCTCATGACATGGAAAATAGTTATTTAAGAGATTTCCAAACTTGAAAGCCCAAAGGAAAGTCATAGAGAATTAAAACGAATCATTCAGATTAATAAATCTGTTATAATTATGCTTTATTTTTTATTTTATTTAAAATATATATGTGAGGGGCTAGCCAGGGATACAGCGTTGGAATGCACTCTTGTACCACTTAATCAGCAGCTTATCATGAGATTAGTCCACGGTCATCTAAAAGGATGACTTCCCAAGACTTGAATGAGAAACAAGGGTCTGTAAGGAACCCCTAGAAGTTGTTTTTCCTGACACCAGCCTAGATATAGTGTTAGGCATGCTTATATGTCTATTTTTAGAGGAATATCAAGTGGGAGGGACATGAGTAAGTGGAGTAGACTTAGGCATGGGTTATAGTCATAAATGAGACCATATTTAAACAAATAACAAAAATATTTAATTGAATCAAACAAAATAATAATACAATTAATGGGATTACAAATGATATATTCTGAACCTATCTTGCAGAGAGAAAAATCAGCTATCTAACTTAATCTAAATCAACCTATACACAAGAGAGAGTTTACATAAATCTAATGTGATTATACTATCTTCAAAATATGAAGCTTATTCTTGTCTTTGATTATCTTTCCATTCGGGACATGGGAGAAGTTTGAAATCATAGCATTTGTGTATGCACTATTAAAATATATAAGACTTCTATATGTATGGCAATCTTCTCTTCTTGAGAGACTACTTCCTATGGCATGTTCGTACCTTGTTGAACTGCTTGGAATGGCAGAAAAAAAGCCCATTTTATAGCGGCTTCTTCAGGCAGCCAAGTAACATGTGCAAAGGCCACATCTGAATCATCTCACAAGTCAGCCGTCTAAAGGAAGTTCAACTTCCTCTTTTTTGAAAATGACGGAAGCTACATTCTTTCTTTGTTTAACTTCTCTCCGAAATAAAATATGTTTTAGTCAAAAATAAAAACATTCTTTTTACCGCTAATTTCTTTAAAAATAATGGCCTCTAAAACCTGACTCTCACATATATTTGAATTCACATAAAAAATCGGGATTTTCTGTATTTTTTTTCATCATGCCCTAATTGCAAATAATAGCATTATTATATGGGTGTTTTTTGTGTGTCAATCTGTTTTCATTTAACAAAATGATTTTTGTTACAGCATTTGCATTTTTTTGTTTTCTATTTTTATTATCTTAATGGAAATAATCTGCAAGTTTTTTTTTTTTTTTTTTGTCTTTTTGAACACCATATAGTGTAAGTACAAGAATGTAAAATCTGCAAGTTATTCAATATCTTGGTCAAAGTAACTAATAAGTTGTTGAAGTAATTTGCCAACAGATAAACAATTCATTCTTTGCACAACTCTAAACCTGGAACGATACATAAGTACATAACAACCAGTATTTGTTAGCTATAAGAAAGCACCTCTACAATTAAAATAATTATATTTTTGAGGCATGTTAAGATGATGTCTAGTACACAATAATATAGATATTATGTTGTCTGAAATATAGATAATCTTTGAAATCCACAAATCTTGCCGCTGTTATAATAATAAAAGTTCTTTCACATTTCTTGTTAAGATAACCAACTACAGTTGTCCCTCTATAGTCCGACGTTTTTTAATCCGACATGCTCAGTAGTCCGACGCACCTCCCGTCAAGGTACCCGTCCCCGTTACGTGTCTGCTTGCACAGAAGCATGTCGCGATGTGAATCTCCCCATCCAATTCTTACTCGATGACACACATTTCGTGTGTTTTATGTGAGCAGTTCTGTTCGAACAGTTGGAGTAGAGAATATTGTAAGTTACTGCTAGCAAAACAATGCGAAATATGTAATTATTTTCGGTAATCCGGACACTTTTGGTAATCTGACACACCTTTGGTCCCATACCTGTCAGATTATCAAGGGACAACTGTACTTTATTTATCAAAAAAAATTTTCAGCTTTTCAGCCATCTTCAGTTTTATTACAAACTTGTTTTAACAAACCTTCAAAGAGATTACTTATGTTAAGAGAATTTTTACATAAATACTGCAATTTATCAGTTAAGATATTATCAAACTTTCACAGAAACATGTTATATGAAATTGGAGTTGCATAAAATTATTTATAGCAACTAAAACTTTTCTTTATGAATTTTTTAATTCTATACGTAAAAGTAGGTTTTAATGTAATTTAGAAACACTATCCTGAACTGATTATATGTAATATAACAACACTTCCAAACCGAATTTTTTTGTATGTGTTGTTTTTTCTTTTGTATTCATTTTTAGTTCATAGCTTATTACTACATTCCTGCACATGCAAAGTTCATACACAATGAATGTTATTTAAATTCTGTTTTTTGTTCAATTTTCATTCCACCAGTAGAACCTGAAGCCTTTGTAAAGGTTGAAAATGTTTGTTCTTCAATGAATGTTTTTGTTCTTCTCTCTGGATTTTAGGTTTGGAAGTGTTGTTATAGTTAATGTAATTAATTGTAGTTATTTTTAAATTGAATAAATTAAAAATTAACAAAATTAAGCCTGAATATTAAGTACAGTACATTGTAAAGTATTTCTTGATACCTTTTTTACAAGTACTATTAAGAGTTATATTTTGATAATGTTTTAAAATTTATCGCATTTTTTAGAACTCGAAGTAAATATGGTGAAGAAGATGAAAAATTTACCTTTACACTGACTCTTGTATGCTTTCAATGTATTATTAATGCAATATTTGCAAAAATAAGTAAGTAAATTCTTTATATTTTGTATGTAAATATATCCTAGATTGAAATTTTAGGAAAATCTTGCATATATATTTAATTGATAGATATAAGGGTGGATCAAATTAAAACAGAACAGTGGTCATAATTCGGTGTATGTGTATGTGAGTGTAAAAAAAACTGTGTGTTGATGTAGAGTGGGAGGTGAAAGAGGAGAAACCCTATTCAGGAATAGACTCACTCTTGGTAAGCACGTGCAACCACATGGTATGAGCTTGCAGTCAGCCAGGAATGTCGTCTGGCAGGCAATCAGTCTGCATCATGTTTGTGACTAAAGAAGAGCAATGCGGTTTTATTTGTTTTTTAGCGGCAGAGGGTGTTGGAGTTCGTAAAGTGCAGAGGACAATGAAAACAGTGTTCTCCATACACTGTTTTCATTGTCCTCTGAGTGCTTTTGCTCGACGACAACTCACGGCCACATACAGCCACTTGCACTTTGAGCATGCTTGTGAACTTTCGGTGGAGTGGGTTGGAACACCCACCATACAGCCCCGACCTTTCACCATGTGAGTTTCACATCTTTGGTCTACTAAAAAAAGCATTGCGGGGTTGATGTTTTCAATCAGACAGCGAAGTCATGGACACTGTTCGAAACTGGTTTCAATCTCAGCCAAACTCTTTCTACGAACAAGGTATTCACCACTTGGTGCAACAGTGGAACAAGTGCTTGTGTAATTTTGGTGATTACATTTGAAAATAAATAATGGCTACTGCTGTGGCTGGCTACTGTTCCATTTTCATTTGATCCACCCTAATTCACTTGATTTTAGACTCTGTTATTCTTTGAATATAATAAAGGAAAAAACAATGAATTGTTTTACAAAAATTGTTCTCTGTTAAATCATGATATTCATTAACATAAATAACACAATAAAAATACAAATGCTTGCATAAATTTTAAAGAAATAAATACTTGAAGAAAGCATAAGTGACCAAAAAACTTTGGACACCTCTAGCATTGATTGACAAAAAATATCTTGAACAATCACCTTTTTGTATTATTGCATTTATATATTCACACATTGCCTTAATGAGAGCCTGATGCTCATCTTGAATTATTTCATTTCAGACTTCCTGGATTTTTTGATGTAAGCCAGTCACAGTCTGTTGAAATTATTTCTGCAGAATTATTTTCATGTTTCCATGTCAATTTTCAATGTGAGAAATTCAACATATTAATGTTGTTTCTTGCAAGTCATATGCTCATTATTTTGACAGTATGGCTATTTGCATCATACTGTCAGAAAATTACATTTGAGTTTTATAATTTTTTAGGTATGGAAGAAGGATTTACTGATATTCTTCTGCATTCGCTGTTTCATTGGTAAAATACAGAATGCTGACACCTTGAGTACTCATGCAACCCCATTCCACAATACTTGCTGGAAACTTTTTTGCAAAATTACAGTAGACCCCCCTATAACGCTTAGATACATTCCACGCTAATCGAATTTTACGTTGTAGGAATGATTAAATACATGAGCCAATCGCAGCCCGATAGGTGTGAACTTTACGGACTAAGGCTGTTTGAAAGGTTTTCTTCTATAAAATTAACCGATTCTAGACTAATTCCACTCAACATTTCCAAAATACGTATAATTTTTTGGGAATAATCTGTATAAATTATGCTATAAACAAAAAATTATAGGATTACTTACCGAGTGTGCACCATTCGACTACGCCGTTGTTCAAAGCTTGTTTTCGTCACGGAACAGCACACGAAACGGTGGCCGCGATTTCTGATAAATAATTTTTCGCAGAAAAATAACTTGACCTTTGCAGACATCATTAATATAAATAATTTTTATGGCCATTGAATAAGAAGTGTTTCTTTCACAAGAAATGTATAAAATTAGTGCTGTATTAGACTTACAGTACCTAATTTACATACTGTACAGATGATAATAAACTCAACTTATTGCTTAAAATCTCCGTAGCGTGGCGCCACGCTAGACGGCGGAAATTATATATTTAATTATAATAAAGTTACAATAAGTTAATATATAATTATATGTACAGTACCTAATTTATATATAATTTATATATAATACTATACAGACGATAGCAAAATCAATTTAGCTGCTCCGTAGCGTGGCGCAGGGCGGAGGAAAGAAGTTCGGCTGCTCATCCACTATTGGTCCAGATTCTATCAATCTTGTCGTGAAACGAGTCGGCGACGTCGTTTTAGGAGCTCCTTTATACGTATGTTGCTACAATTTTTTCACTACATTATAGGAATTGTCGTTATAGGAACGCACGTTATAGGAGGGTCGACTGTACTCAAAATGAAAGGATGCATGTCTTTTTCAGATCTTTTTGTTGCTTCTGGTGCAAACCTCAAACTTGGCTTCAATGCTGAAAACAATATTGTTCCACTATTGCTGCATCCAATTTTGTCTATTTCAGTTGCTTTTTGATTTGAAGCTTAGATGACAGAAGGTTTTCTTTAGCTGGAAAGAAAAAAAGATCACTTAAGTTGGGATTTAGTGATTGATGTTGACTAACAAATATCCTTTCAGTTATGGTATTTTACATCTGTCTACCAAGATCCATATCTAATCCATTTATTAGACTGGAGGTTGATCAGCCTCTGGTAAAGATGCAATTTATACTTCATATTTTAACATTCTGGTGCAGATTATTTAGTATACCTGAAGATTTTCAAATGCTTCTCTATAGGAAAACTGGCAAGTGCACAGCACAATCACGCCACTAATACATGATATAATCTGTATTAAATTTCTTTTATAATTTGATGTTTATTGTATTTATTTTTGTTAGTTAATTATCAGGATTTTTAGGAATCAGTATATGAGATGTGCTACATATAATAATAATAATGAATGACACTTGTGTTATATTCAAAACAAATGATCAAAAATCAAATCCTGGTTTTGAATACACTTTACAGTCAAGTCAATCAAACTTTAAATCACTTTGACTTACATCCCTATCACTATTTGCATGGTCAACATTTCTTTTCAGAAGAATCACTGCCATGTGATGAGACCCAAATTTTGTCATTGAGTTACAGCAGTCATCACTGTTAACTGAGAGAAACAACATGATGTTCGGACACAAGTCATAAAGTTTATTGAGTTCAGAGTTAAAGTTTTGAGCATGTGTTTTGAATACAACATTATTCACTATTATTGTTGTATGTGAGCAACTTTCATACAACTGTATCTCTGAAACTTCTGAGAATAATGTCTATGTTTATATAATAATTTTTTTTTAGAATGACCTATACTATCATTCCTCAAGATATTTTCCTGTCCTCCTGACTTACCCTGTACAATTGTTTTTTTTCCAACTACCATCTCATCCTCCCATAGCACTTCGTAACTTGTAATGATTATCTGCATACCCACTCATCCATATCTGTGTTACATAATTTATAGACACACCTATGTTTATAAAACAAAGAATAATTTTTAAATTGTGTTATTGGCTATGCACGAGACAAATACTTGGGATAAAAAGTTACAGAATATAAAAATTTTAATTAAAAAATTACTTTTAAAACTTTTTTAAAATAAAGACAAAATAGAACTATACTGTAATGAAACTAGATATGGACCCATTATTATTATCTGGAATAGAAATAATTTTCATCTCAAACAATTATAAGCACAAAAGAAATTAGGAAAACATTCACAAAATATTGTTATAGTACTATGTTACTCTTATATGATTGGTAGAATATAGAGCAGGGATGGACAACCTTTTTCTACATAAGGGCCACATTTAAAACTTTTTGAACTGACCACACACAAGAGAAAAAAACACTTTAAATTGAGTAAATCACAATTATTTATTTATATATGATTATAAATTAACATAAGTATACTTAATTTGACTTCTGTCACTGATCTGAACATAATATATCCAAAATATTTGGCTGAATATTAGTCACTGCTAGTTTTAAATTAGTTTTGATGTGAGTTTGTTAGCCGATTTCTTGTTTTACTTTTACTAAATTTTTACTAGGTTGTAGAAAATAACATTAAAATTTTTGCTGTATACTTTCTTAAGTTTTGAAATTGATATATTTATTGGGACCTTGAATAAATTATTGCTGTTTTTTCGTGAAAATTAATGCTTTATTTAAAAAAAGTTGTAAAAACATGTCACTGAAAGTATTGTCCATTGCTAGCCACTACTTTCTCCCATCATTCTGGCAGCATTTGAATTCCATGTCGGAAAAACGACATGTCTTTTGAGGCTATCCAAGAATCAGCCCAGTTTTTGGCATCTTCATAAGAATGGAAGTGTTGCTCAGCCAGGCCATGTGCTATCAATTGGAACAAGTGATAATTGGATGGAGCAATGTTTGATGAATTTGATGAATACAGTGGGTGGGATAGGACTTCCCATTTAAGCATTTCCAAGTAGGTTTTCAGTGGTTGTGCAACATGTGGCCAAATATTGTCATGTTGCAAAATCACTTTGTCATGTCTCTGCTCGTATAGTGGCCATTTTTCCTTCAATGATCGGCTCAAACACATCAATTGTAGTTGATAGCAATCTCCCATGATGGTTTCATTCAATTTGAGCAGCTCATAATAAACTACACTTAGTTGATCCCACCAAATGCAGAGCAGAAGCTTCGAACCATGACTTTTGGCTTTGTCGACGATGTTGATGCATGGATGGGCTTACCCAACAATCTTCTACGCTTGGGGTTATCGTAGTGGTGTAAGGAACCAAGTCTGAACGTTATTTTTATTTACTTTTATTTTGCTTATTATTCTATTTTTTGGGGCTTATGTTTTGTTAGGACGAAGTTTCCTCACCATTCACCTTAGTAACTTAAAAATAGAAGAAAAACCAACTCACCAACGAAAGAAAAGCGCCGTAGAAAACTCGCGCACACTTGCGCTTCCCAAGCGGAAAAAAGTAAGTCCGCACCGAGAAAAAGGGGGGGAAGACCCCACAACCCAGTTAGGAATCGCTAAACCTTAAAAGAATAAAGCATCCCGATAATTGTTAAAAAGAATAATGTAAAAGGTTAGCGAAGTATTGTCGGAAAATAATCTGCCAGATAAACAAGAAAAATTTAATGTTACAGATAAGTATGTAAATGAGGAGAGTGAGCTCATTCAGAATTGTGACGTCACCTCACACTATAAAGCCTCTAACTCAAGTGAAAACGAACGAGGTGAATTCCTGATAGCAACGAGCTTTGGTGAGCTTCGTAGCAGTGAACGAGAGAGGTGTCCGATAGGATTTTGAAGTTATTCGATTTGTGGATCGACGATTATAGAAAGTCTTGAGAGTTTGAGGAAATAGGTTCCTAGTATATTGAGGTGACGATTAGGATCTTTAATTTATAAGAATTATTGTTTATAAGTTAATTCTTTGATTTTGTCGAATTCCAAAGGGGAATAGAATTAAGTTAGAAATAGATTGATTTGAGTTTGTCGGATTGATTCTTGTTGAATTTCATTGAATAAATTATTGTTTGATTTTTACTAAATACTGTATATAGTTTATTACTAGAAGTTTAATTAAATATTTGATTTTGTTATTGACAAACTTTGTCATTATTTAATTCGGTGCACGCTTAAAGTCCAGGCCTGGCACACTAACGCGAATCCGCGTAAAGTACCCGTTAGGGAACGGCTATTTCCGGCACACAGTAGTGTCGATAATCGTTGGAAAGTCGGAAAAAATAATATAGTACTTTACAGTGTATCCACTTTTCATCGTCAGTCATGATATGATGCAAAAAAACCTTTCCTTTTCTGCCATTGAAGCATCTGGTCACACATGAAAAGACTTTGTTCGACATCCTTGCTTTTGAATCATTCCTAATACTTTCAAATGTTTCAAAACTGTTGTGTGATCAACTAACTCCTAATGATTTTGCAAGTTCAGCTAGCATCTGACATGAGTCTTCATGAAGTAATGCCTCCAATTCTTTACCTTCAAGCCTTTTCAGTGCACCAGAGCGTAATCTTCAACATCAAAATCATTATTTTTGAATCATCTAAACCAAGGGTCACCAAACTTTTTTGATCGTCGATCCCCTACAAGTTTTCAAAACCTCACATCGACCCCCACCAAAAAGTTTATGTTACAAGCAAAACAAAATACTTACTATTTTAATACATTTCTTTTAATTTTGCATTTTTTTCATTTATTATATATTTGTTAATAATAATTTTTGTAACTGANCACATCGACCCCCACCATAAAGTTTATGTAACAAGCAAAACAAAATACTTACTATTTTAAAACATTTCTTTTAATTTTGCAATTTTTTTCATTTATTATATATTTGTTAATAATAATTTTTGTAACTGACAATCAGTGAGACGGATAAGCTTGATCCTTAGCTCCCCCTTATCCTTAGCTTAAGCTTGATAATCGACCCCCAATAATGTTACATTGACCCCTTTGGCGACCCCTGATCTAAACCAATTTCTGCATGTTGTTTTGTCAGAATATGGTTGCTTTAAGCCTCTGCAAGAATTCTGTGTGCTTCAGCTGCAGATTTTTTTTAATAAAATAGTGCAATAAAATTCCCAGCAAATACTCTTTTTTGGCACAAAACTTGACATGTTTAACACTATGAAAAAAAAAGTTGCTTTACACTTCGGTGAAATGACGTATACTGAATTTCAAGCTTGCTTATGGTACTTCCTTACAGATGCACCACCATCTTAAACAACATGCACACAGTTCTGGTAATGCCATCTGTTCAAAAACAGAGAACTTTTTCAAGGTCCCAATATTAATATTCTGTGCCATGCGGGCCTTGGGTTGCCCACCTTTGATATAGAGCATGTCCATAGATGAAATTCTGATTCTGGTTGGCTATATTTTATATTTTTCAATGTTTATTTACAAGGTGATTCAAAACTTGGGGTATAAACTTTTAGGGGAAACAAAGAATGTAAAAATAAACAATATTCACATAGGAATGTATGATCAGAAAAGCCATTTTATGTACTAGAGGGCCTAATAAAGATTTTTTCATCATTTATGGTTTTGTCATTATGGCATCATAGTATATCCTCTAGTACATAAGGATGGTGTTTCTAATCATATATTCCTATATGAATAACATTTGTTTTTGTTTTCTTCCTCTTCAAAAGTTTAATCTGAGTTCTGGAGCACCCTGTAAAGATGCTGAATTTACTCTATGTTAAAGAAAGAGTAAATTGGATGGAGAGAATTAATCATCTTTTAGATAATGTTGGTTATTTGTTTGTTTTTCATTTTGAGTCCTTTAGTTTGTAGAGAATTTTTGGGTGAAGATCATTCAAGTTTATTCTGATCTTTTGTTAAATGAAGATAGAAACGCTTACAAAAAACAAGATTAAACTATGAATTTGGTTTTTGTTGGAATCTACAGTAATATTTATTAACTACATTAAATTTTAGAGTTAAATCCTTGGAAATACTAAAGCAGTTAAATGTAAATGGATAGAAAATCCTATATAATGAATGTTAAGATTTTTAATAATATCTCAATGTCTTGTTTGTAAAGATATAGTAGAAGAATTGATATTGCATATGTTTAAGTTGTGTAATGTGTTTTTACTTTTAAGAGGAAAAAACTTTTTGAAGTTTAATTTGATATTTAAATAATTTGTGTGTGTAAATCTCAATGCTTGATATTTGTATTAAAGAAAACTTTTTTCAACAGGCAGTTAAATTGTTTCGCCTCTCTTGTAAATAGCTTTGCTCAAGGATCAATAAAATATTGGTTGATTGATTGGTAATACCAGAAATTGTTGATTTGCCAATTTTTAGATATGATTTACATTTGACACAAAGGGTGTGAAATGTAACAAAACAAAGAGGACTATTGACAAAATGTGAGTGTTCATAACATCACGAGGCAAGTTAAAAATTTTTATGTCAGGTAATGGGAATACTGTACAGTACATGATAGCTAGAGGATGTTGGCAAATGCAAGCCAATGAAATCAACAATTTTATCTCAGTTAGAGTTCTTTACTTGCAGCAGGAATAAAATGGCACTCAATAATTAAAAAGATCCACTGATGTATAATTAAATTTTGATAAGCCAACACCACACAGTAAACAAAAAGAACATTAATGTATTAACTGCATTATATATATAGAATTTTTTTAAATGCTATCTATTGGTAAAAGTACAAAACTACAATTTGCAACCATGCTTATCACAGCTTACAGTGTAAATGAAACTCACTTTGCTTGCTTCATTTGCTATTGTGTCCAGTGTAAATCGCACTTTAGTTCTAAAGGTATTTGACAAAAGGACTTTTCCTCTCCATAAAAGTTTACAATTACTTATCTAATATCTCATCTTACTGCATTTCTTGTTGCCATTTATTTTTTACTAATTGAAAATATTGCTAATGATATGTAATTAGAAAAATTATAAGTAGATTATAGCCAATATTTTAGTAAGTAGAAATGTTCCATTGTTTTTAATAATGGTGTCAAACATTTTTTCTGTAAATTTTGGAGGTGTTTGAAGTTTTTATCATTTATGATTTCTTTAAATATTTATTTGTTTCTTTAATAATTTATGCAAACATTTGTACTTTATCATGTTACATACTTTTAATTTGATATTACGGTTTATCAAAGAATAATTTTTGTAATCACATATTTTTTATTTTGCTATGTTTAAAATAAAATGTTGTTAATAATCAATAGATCTCCAAGGTATTTTTTGTTTGGATTATATATATTAAAAAATTAGTCAGGAAATTGTTGTTAGTCCAAATGTAGAAACAAGGTTTAGTCTTAATTACAGATTAAATTATTTTATATCACCTAATCTTTGCTTTAAACAAGCTAACTAGCTCTTGTTAAAACATGATTTAATTTAGAATAAATTTTAATTTAGATTTATCTCTGCTATAAGATTCATTTCTATAAGTGAATCATTCATATGTAGATTTAAGTTGTCATAAAATAATTTAAATCCAAACTTTTATGATCATTATACCACTATCATTGTCATTTATCAACATCACATCTGTAATACCCCTTTATATGACACGTTTATAATGCACACAATGCTATAATTTGTAATTATTTTTTAAAGTTAAAGAATAAAGTAAAAATAATTTTGAATACAGTAGTTTCATATAAATTTTTAAAAAATTTTAAACTGAATTATGTAGATGCAAATTATACAGTTTTTTGCATCTCAAATGATTTTTAGTTTATTAATCTTAGATTTTAAAATAAATAAAAAAATGTTAATGCATTATTGAGATTTCAGTTTCAAGTGGATGAAATTTCTTAAAATAGTCATATTTAATGAATAAAAATATTTAATAATTTGAACCCACATTTAAAAACTCAAAAATTGATTAACACCAAAAGTAACAATAATTAACAACCTGCAATTGACTCTTCAACCAGCTGCATGTGACCCAAAACAAACAGATGCTAATAGACAAAACTTTATCAAATATGATGACCAACAACTGTTAATGACTATTCATTTGGTAACAGTTGGTGTGAATATCTTCATGAAAAAATTCATAGTGTAATGTTTTGTTCATCTTATGATAGTTGGTATCTACCCCAATCAACTGGATAGTGTGAATTAGCCTTAAATTTTAATTAACAGAAAATTTTAATTTATTACATATATAATAAATTTGAACAACATACTTAATATTATTACTGATATTGTATGTATGTATAAATGCATCTTGATAAGAAAGAATAATCACATTATTTCTCTATATATAAGACTGAATTATTTAATTATCAATGAATTAATGTTTAAAAATTAATGCTTCTTTATTTAATATAGTGTTGTCTACATTCATGAAACAAGGAGCTGATACAACAACAAACAAATATTATGCGTCATGTGCATTTTCTTATTTAGGTGCCATGGTAGCAAGTAATATGGCTTTACAACATATTAATTATCCAACTCAGGTAATTATAATTTTAAAAGAACTTGAAAAATCTTTATGATTGAAATTTCAATTTAAAAAGTTACTATTATGCAATAGTATATCATATACTAATGTTATCCATTTATTCTAGTATTTTTTTTTTAAATTTCAGCACTGAGACTTTAGAGAGACTGCATGAATTATCTTATTTTTCTGTTCGTTGTTAATAACTATTTATATTAAAAAATTATTATTATTTTATTATTTAGACACCCAGAATTGTCCATGATTATAATTTATGTATCTGTATTTAACCTTGTAAAAAGTGAAACTTTATCTTTTGAATTTGTTTCAAGTACTCTTATCACATTTTAAGCTATTAAGATATGATAGTGTCAATTGATTTCTTATGAACATAATTGTTGTACTTACTAGTAAACAGATAGCATTAAAAGGATATGTAACTTAATATATAAACATAAATCTATAAGAAAAATTCTGAGGGATAAATTTAATGCTCTGAAATCAAATGTATTTTTAGAGTTTGTTTTATATGGTTATATAGTACAGTGTTCCGCAACCGGTGTGCCGTCACAAGGTGAAAGGTGTGACTTGAACTTTTACATATTCTATTAATTTCAGGTTTTATTTATATATTTTTATTGCAGTTGTTGTGTTTCTTATGGTTGTATTTTCATTCACTGATGAAATAAAATGATATTAAAGCAATAAACACATATGTCGTCCCAGTACTTATTCTTTTGGAGTTATACATTGGACTCACACGGACCTTGAGCAACTCCAAATGAAAACAAGAACAATGCTTACTAAGCATAAACAATGTCATCTTAAATTTGCCATAGAAAGATTAACCCTTCCACGTAAACATAGCGGACGTGGTCTGATTGATATAGTAAACCTTCACTACAAGAGCACTGCGAGAGTTTTTCTACAAAAGCAAGAAACATCACAGTTACATAAAGCAATAAGTCTAGCAGACTCAAATAAAATCACCATTAAACTTACATTTGCATCATATGGACAAGACAGAACATATAAAATGCATAGACACTTAAGCAATCGTGGGTTCAAAAAACACTATGGCAGACATCCCTATGACCTAGCCCAGGATTTTGTTGGCAAAACTGCGTCAAATAGCTGGTTAGCTCGGGGATGCCTCTTTCGGGAGACGGAAGGATTTATGATTGCCATACAGGATCAGGTCATAAATACTAAAAACTACACAAAACACATACTGAAAGATATAACACTCACAAATGACACTTGCAGAAAATGTCACATCATGCCAGAAACTATGTAACACATTACTTATGGTTGCGAACTCTTGGTACAGACATAATTTACATCGACATAATCAAGTAGCAAATACATCAAGAGCTTGCAAAGAAACACAAATTATTAGACATCCACGAACCATACTACAAATACGTTCAACAGACAGTATTGGAAAACAACAAGCACAAACTGCACTACGACAGTCATAATCACAGATAAAACAATTTACCACAACAGACCAGACATCACACTCATTGACAAACACAATAAAATCAACATTATAGACATATCGGTTCCAAACACTCACAACGTACAAAACACATGAAGTGAAAAAATCAGCAAGTACACAGAACTTGCCCAGGAAATAAGGCATCTGTGGAGGATGGATAGGGGTGCTAATTGAACTTGTCGTTCTCTCCTCTACAGGTATCGTACCACAAATGCTACACAAAAGTCTGGGAACATTAAAATTGAATAGAAACACATACATCACACTACAGAAGGCCTCTATATTGAATACATGTCATATTGTTAGGAAATTCCTGAATACAGACACACAATGACATGCTTATTTAATTTTTTTTTTTTTTTTCTTGAAGTTACTATGTCTTGACTCTGGTCTAGCATAGTACACAACCATCGCTATCCACCTAGTGTAACTCAACTCAACATAATTGAGTTTTGTGGTTTATGGCATTACAAAATTCTATTAATAGTATCATATCATACATTATTGAGAGGAATAACATTTTGGTGTGCTGTGTTGAGTCATGTCTAGTCATAGGTGTGCCGCGAGTAGAAAAAGGTTGCGGAACACTGATATAGTATATAGTGCTTGTAGCAGAATTTAGAATATTAAATAATAATTAAGAATGAAATTAGTAGATAGCATATATATATGCTAATACTTTTTTATAGATAATAATATATATCTTAAATCAGGGAAATCAATTTTTAGTTTTTGTGTGCATCTTATTTACAGATTAAGAGCATATAAGAGGGCATTTACAGCTTAAAATGTTGCCATACTAAAACATTACTAGAAACATTTGGCATTGAAACCTAAAAATTGACTCTTTTAACTGCACTTAGATTTAGATTGCAGTTTTTACTCTACAGTGAAAGGTACTTTTCTGACTTAAAGTACCTTTTCATACATTGCATCATATCTGTGTATATTATATTATATTAACAGAATAATAATATAATTTTACTACCACCCAATATTTCTGATATAAATTTTTCATATGAATGATATAAAATATTAATCAAAATTATCACCTTTTTTATAAATTCCAGCAAATAATTTAATAATATAAAAACGTTTTCGCTCGTCTTTAGCGATCTTCATCAGTTGAAAGAACATTAAAAATAGAACAAAAATTAAATTTACGAAAAAATAATAACTGCGCATGCGTAATGATGAGCACTTAACGGAATAAATACAAAAAGTTAGGGATATAAGACTAAAAGAAAATAAATACTGTACATAAATAAATAAATAAATAAAAATAAAGAGCTCAACAGTTTCTCATTAAAAATTAATGTTTCGTAAAAATTACAGGTTATCTTCATAGAATGATTTCCATGCTGTGGATAGAGAGTGGGCGTCCCTATGATTGATACAAGTAGTTTTCCCTTGGGCTTTATAAATCTCCAGTTTTTCGAGATGTTTGATGGAGTGCTTGTTAGACGTGGGTCTAATGATGGAAGCTTGGTCCCATATGACCTCAATTCCTTGCTGGTTGGCGTAAGATGCTAAAACGGTGCTATCGTTGTTCTTTCTAATAGAGTATTTATGTTCTTTGATTCTTTGTTCCAAGCTTCTCAAAGTAGCACCTATATAAACACTATCTGAATCAAAGCGACGGTCTTTGATTGGTATGGAGTAAATACCGGAGGTAGCGATCTGGTTGTCATTCTTTTTATCATTTCTCAGTAACTTGTATACTGTGGGATTGCCGCGATATAATAAATATACATATAAAATATAATAAAACTGTGCATTTGAAATTACTTTAGAATAATTTCTCTATTTTAATACAGTATTTCATTAAAATTATTTATACAAACATTTTGTAAATTGGAAATGATTTTTACAAAGTTAATTTTAAATATTAAGTTAATTCAATTCCAAAAGAAGCAAAATAAAACTTATTAAAATTTAATAACATTCTTACCAATAGACAGTCAATTTGATTTAGAAATGTATTCAATATTATTCCATTCAAGGATATTGATACTGTACTTCTGGAAATATAATACAAAGAAAATACTAATCCATCTCTTTGTCTATTTCTTCCCTCTTTTCTGTTATCTTACTTAAAATTTTCCCAAACTTTCATCACACATTATATACATCTATTTTAAATTCATTCTGATATCACAGGATACATGTATATGGAGTGAATATTCTAATCTCAAATCTTTGTATAGAATGAGTTAAGAAAGATTGGAAAAGCTTTGAATACTAAGGTAAAAGGAGAGATGAACAGAAGAAGAACTAAACAAAGAGGAACTGTTATTTTGGTTGTGCTTTATTTCCAGAGGCCTTTAGTTTCTGATCTACAGTTTTGAGCGATATTTATATCTATAGTTCAAAATTTATACAAGAGATTAAAAAAAATCCATTCTAAGAGTAATTTCAGATACAGATTGTTTCATGCATCTTGACTGGGCAATGCATGGTACTTGGTTAAAATCAGGTAGTTTTTAAAAGCTTAAGAGCTCCTTTTTGGTATGTACAGTGACCCTGTCATAGATCTATGAAACAATTTGCTAAGTATATAGCAGTCTCTGCTACTGTGCATTTTTGCAATCTGGCTAAATGTGTGAAACAAGCTGTATATACACTCATTGACAAAAAAGTTATGCACCCAGATAAATTGTTTGATTGCTGCAAAACTCTGCATGCAGCTATGTCTCAGATATTACCATATGCATCCAGACAAGAGAAAGTTCTTATATGATATTAAAGGTTTCTTTAAATTGTACAGTTGTTCCATGGGAAATTATCCCATTGCTATTACAACATATTGTAATCATTCACTACCATTCTTATTACATCCATACTAATAAAGTTTCATTTGATTCCAATTATTCCTTTTTGGTATGTAACTTTTTGTCAGTGAGTTATATTCATTATATGTTATTCGTAGAGAATGATTTAGATATATTTTTGTAAGTGGAGTAAAATTAAATATATAGATCAATTATGTGTTAATCAGTTTATTAAATATCACCCAAAACTGTAAATGATATTGAATATTGTATGACTGTATGAATTTTGAATAATTTTTCTATATAATTGTTATTCAAATTTATAATTGTTTTAAGAATTGGAATCAGATTGATTAATTGATTGAATGAATGATTTGTCATACGTTTGGTTAGATAAAATTTTATTTTCCAACATAAGTCTACAGCTACTTATAATTGTTTTGTCTGACTAAATAATTTTCCATAATTAAAAACTGAAGATATATTACTTAATATGATCTTCAAAACTTATGAAAGAAAATATATAGTAATCATTTTCTAATATTTAATTTATTTTTTATTTAGGTAGTAGGTAAATCATGTAAGCCAATACCTGTCATGATATTGGGTGTGTTAATAGGAAGAAAGCAATACCCATTGGTGAAATATTTGTTTGTTCTCATGATTGTAATTGGAGTAGGATTATTTATGTATAAAGATCGTCCGCCCACAACCATTCACTCAGAATCATTAATAGGCATGGGAGAAATACTCTTAGTAAGTAGTAATTAATCTTTTTCTGAATTGTTTTAGTACATAACAACATTCTACAACAATATAATCCTATTTGATGATTTGCTTCTGTTATAAAAAAATAATATAATGAATTAGATTAAGATGTAGTCTGAATCTTAAGATAACGTATACTACCACATACAAATTACAGTGGTTGATTGGTTAATGTACAGTTCAGACAGCAAACACTTTCATGAAAGATTTTTATGTTCAGATAACAAACATCTCACAGAACAACAAAAGAAGTGATGCTCTGTTTAAGATTGTAAAACTATATTTCACTGGCATCTATGAATGAATGGTTTATGGAATGAAACTTTCACAGTTGTATACATAACTTTTTTGCTCTATTTTGCTTTTTGAAACCATGTCCTGTTTTATAATTCTGGCATAGTTACAGTGACCATATTTTTTGGGGGAAAATAAAGGACATATCGAAGAAAATCAAAAAATACCTTATAAAATTCATAAGTTTATAACATTTATTACGAAAATAGTAGCATACAACAATGCATACATTAAAATTTTAAACAATCTGAATTATTACACATACACACATTGTAAAAATTTAAATAACATTAATTTTGATACTTTTCAGTAGAATTAATTTTTTTTTTATAGCGCCGTTTCATGCTTTAAAGTCATAAAATTCCATACAGTTCATTTGAAAGTTGTATTTGATGGAAATACATGCTTTTAATGTGCTTACTTTTAAATCAGTTTTTTCATTCGTCCACATATTATTCACCAATGAAAATATTCGTTCAACAGGGGCATTAGATCCAGGGAGACAAAGAAAATTCTACGATTTTACAAATGTTTTTGAAAACAATTTCTTTGTAAAATGTTCAAAAATCTCAATCCACCTTTGATGGCAGGGCTGGTTATTCTGTCACCATTCGTCGATCTTTTCATTTGTGACATATTTTTTTACACATGAAACTTCATCCAATAATTCACTGTCGAGTATATTTATGGACCAATGATTCGAAATAAAGATATAGCTTTCCTCTACTTTCGCCCACAAAGAGATTTCGCATAATGTGATCCATTCAAACACATCTATTTCAATAAAAAACATGTCCCAATTATTTAGATAATCTATGCATGTTTGATAAAATGTGTACACAGCATCATTGAATTTTTTGGCTTGTATATTTTCTGATTTTTCTAATGCTAAAACCACTTTTCTAATAACAATAGGAAGAAATCCCTCATTTTTTCTTTCAACTAACTTCAGCTTTAATTAACAAGTGTATCATCCATTAACTAGAGAATTAAAAACTATCACAAAAATCCCCATAAGAGTGTCCACCCCCTGGTACTGTCAGTGGGCCGTTTGGTTGGCGACACACTGCACTACTGCACTCTATGTAGCAATGCAACACTGGTCGTGATGGCGTATACAAAACTAACTTGTTAAATATATTATTAAAAAAAATTTTTTTAACTTTGCGTCAACTTTACAAAATAAAGGACAAAATGCCTATTTTAGAAAATAAATAAAGTTAAAGGACAGAGCAGTGAAATAAAGGACTGTCCTCTTAAATAAAGGACGTATGGTCACTGTAGGCATAGTAAACATTAGTATTGTATTTTATTTCAAAGACACATGGCAAGTTTTCCATCAAATTCTTTTATTAGTTGAGTCGATATGGTACATTGTTTTGTACTCATTTTGGGCTTTGCCCCTCTTCAGTCAACTAAATACAATAAATATTATTACAGTAGAGAACTTACATAAAAACAATGAGCACACAAACTATATATAGACCTACTGTACCTTTGGTTACACTTTGTATAATTTAAAATCTTGTAAAATTTGCTTTAATCCTTATATGGATAAACCGGTATACATTACAATTTAAAAACTTCCATAAACCTTCCCTTTCTGATAGAATTTGACACAATACAACAATTAAAAACTTGAGTTGTTTCCACCCCTTTTTTTCCCTTCCTTTTTTGGTGTTTGAGCTGGTATCTTTGGTGTTGCCATGTATGACGTTCGTCACCTTGTTGTCTGATTTTTATTAAATCCATCTTGCAGAAATTATTTTTTGAAAAGATTGCTTTTCACGGAGAAATTTTTTTATGTATAGTATATTGAGCCAGTTTTCGTTTATTTTAAGACTTAGGTTTTTATTTATATTGTCTTTACTTTTTATAATTTCTATGGTTTCTTTAAACTTCCTGTTGTATGTTAATTTTTCTTTATGCAGTATTTCTACGTTATCTTTGTCTATATTACAGTTGTTTAGAGTANTGCTTTTCACGGAGAAATTTTTTTATGTATAGTATATTGAGCCAGTTTTCGTTTATTTTAAGACTTAGGTTTTTATTTATATTGTCTTTACTTTTTATAATTTCTATGGTTTCTTTAAACTTCCTGTTGTATGTTAATTTTTCTTTATGCAGTATTTCTACGTTATCTTTGTCTATATTACAGTTGTTTAGAGTACAATGTTCGTAAAATGCAGAATTTATTCTATTGTATTGTAGGTCTGCTATGTGTTCTTTCAATCTAGTTTTTACTTTTTTTCGTTTCTCCTATGTAATATTTTTTGTTTGCGCAGGTACACAGAATTTTATATACTACACCTTGGGCTTCGGTCGGTATTTGCTGGTTTTTCTTCCAGTTCGAGGTTAACAGCCTGTTCTCCATTTTTTGATATGATGGTGCTAATTTGTAGTTTATTCTTTATATTTCTGTGCCAATTTGTTCATATAGGCCTTTAATATACGGGAATTTAATACATTTTGTTTTAGTTGCTTGTTTATTTTTATTTTAACATAGGTTTCTTGGGTCATTAAGTCTGATTTCCCATTGTTTCAGCAATCTCTGTGGAAATCCTGCTAGAAGAAACTTCTTTCTTAATTCCATTAGGTCCTTGTTTATGTGCTTCTTGGCTTGTTTGGTTTATGATTTTTTCATATTCCATTTTATATATATATTATATTTAATGTATGACGGAATTTTTGATTGATATCTTATTGTTACTTGGTTAGAGCTCGGTTTCTTGAATGTTCTATATTCGAGATGATGTTTTAATCTTGTTATTGAAATATCTAGGTAGTTAATGTTTTGTCTTGTTATATCTTCAATCTCTATTTTAAATTTTATTGCTTTGTGTATGCTATTTGTCTGCTTGTTAATTTCTTCTATATTAATTTCTGTTTCGTCATATATTATTAGGATGTCGTCAATGTATCTTTTGTAGAATTTTATTCCTGGTATGTTACATATTATATTATTGACTCAATTAATAAAAGAATTTGATGGAAAATTTGCCATTTGTCTTTGAAATAAAACACAATACTAATGTTTACTATGCCAGAATTTTTTGCTCTAGTTGATTTCTGTTTTCTGAATTTTTGTAAGTGCTTTTCTGAACTTTTTATTTAAAAAATAAAAAAAGAAAACAATATTATGGGGCCAAAACAGAATGGAGTGTCAAGAACTGTGTTCACTATAGAAACTAAGCAAGAGATAATTGTCAAGGTCTAATAATAGGCAATGGGCAAAAGATGTCTGATGTTGCTAGGCAGTATGGCTTCAATCCTAGCTAAGAAAGACATAATCAAAAAGATTCAATCAGAAAAATGAGTAACAAAAATCACATCTGAGAAACAAAGATGTGTCAGTCATGAAAAAATGAAGAGATCAATTTTAATTTGTTATTACATATATAATTTCTTACTATGTTCTTACTGCTTTAACTTTTTATTTATTTTTGGGAGTCTCCAATATGAATTAATCAAATTCCCATAAAAATCTATGGTAAATCAATAATTGATTAACAAACAATTCAGGTAGCAAACATTGTCTTTTAACAGATTATGTTCGTTAACTGATGAACCACTGTATATTTATGTAATACATAGTTTGTGTGTTTTAATTTTACAGATTAAAAAACCATTATTAAAGATTAGTCCATTTACTGAACCATTATACTAATTGATGGGAAAAACAAATTAGTGTATAAAATTGTACTTAATCCAATAATAAATTTGACATATAAGAAATTTACCTTTAGTCATCCACAAAAGTGGAAATAAAATTGTGTTACACAGTTCTATACAAATGTGTTCTATACAAATACATAGTTCTATACAAATGTGTCTGTTCAATGATATGTATTTTCAATATTCTACAGAAAAAACATTTTTTTACATTTAAAATGTCTATATTTTGCAACATTTGTTTTCTGTATAATGAATTTTTGCAAACTAAATGAATAGAAAAATATTTTTTTTTTAATATTGATAAATCATTAAAACTGGTTAAATTTTAATAGCATCAATTAAAATCAGTAGATGGTCATTAGGAATATAGTGCAGTCAATATCTGTACTATGGTCCAAAGGAGGTTGAAACATCTATGAAGATAGTTGTATCTTGAAAATGGTTGGTTAAATTAAACAGCCAAAATTATTTCATTACTAAATAATTTTGCTGCCCCTTAGATGTAATGTTCACAAACTTGAATTTAATTTTTTTTTTAAATCATCTTTGTATCTAAAAATAGGAATTAATTATACAATAAGCTATTTAATAAAGAAATAGTAATTTCTAACCAAATTTAATTACTGCTATATTACATAGTTAAATGTAAAAAATGAAAATAATGTCACTACAATTTGATGCTTAATAACTCACTAATTATGCTTTCTTTCACCTTATTTTTGATCTGAATTGCTATAAATTATGTTATTGTAATTTCTTCATCTTGCACTTTGGTAACATAAAAATAATAAAATGTGCAATATGATATAATATAGATTATAAATTTCTAAAATTAATTCATTTCAAACTATTAGAATGTTTAATGATAATTGTACTTACATTTTGAACAATTTTCTCTGTTACATATGAAGTGGTAAGCCAAAATTTTCTCTAAAATTAACTTTTGTTCTCTTAGCTCATCTCATTGTCTCTAGATGGCTTTACTGGTGCAATTCAAGAACGCATGAGAAGTGAACATCATACAAAATCTGGTCACATGATGTACAGTATGAATATGTGGTCAATTTTATTTTCAGGACTAGGTCAGGATGGATTTTAATTTGAATAAAGCAATCATTGACAATAATGAACTGCTATGAGTTAATTTTTATTTTTACAGCTGTTGTTTTTGCTGGAGAAGTTTGGATGTTCTTACAATTTGTAGAGAAATATCCTTATGTATTATATAATATGTTGATATTTTCTGTTATGAGTGCATTGGGACAGGTAAGAATATAATTTTATTACATAAAGATTTCAAATAAAAAGTACTTGTCTTAAATTCCACTTAATTTTTTAAATTTTATTTGCAGTTATTTATTTTCTTGACTGTTGCTGAATTTGGACCTTTGCCATGTTCCATTGTCACGACGACTAGGAAATTCTTTACAGTGTTAGCCTCAGTTATCATATTTGGTAACAAACTTTCTAACAGACAATGGATGGGAACTGCTTTAGTTTTTGCTGGTTAGTATAAATTTGCTTCCATTTTTAAAATAACTTTTTAAATTTATCTATAAATGATAACATTAATAAATGAAACAACACCTTATTAAATTTAGTAAATCTATGGAGATTGCAATTTATCAGCAAAACAAGGTTTTACAGATTAATTTATTTTAGAAAATCATTTCAGTAGGAAATTTAATTTCATAGAGAGAGTTTCTAATTTCATGTTGCTGCTGTTGTATAAATTATAGAACAAATAGAAATATATACAGAAATGTAGAAAATAGTCAGATAAAACAATGGAAGAAAGAAGGATTACTCAGATCATATACATCTCTTTTCCCTGATAGATTATGCAGATCTGTCTTGTTTCCAAGCTCTTTTGAAAGTTTTCTGTATATTAAATATGTGCCATTTATTATATGTCCATGTTGTATATTATAGTGGTTTCAGCAAGGAAGTTTAATTTCCCAGGAACTATCTTTAATACTCTATTTTGGACCTCTATTCACTGTAAATGGGTGACTAGACTAATCTTCCCTAGCCACCCATTTATAGACATGTTACCTGTACTTATGAAATTATCAAAATAGTGTAAACAGAGAGAGTTTTTAAACTCAGTCCTAAGTCATGAAGACTATATATGTCAGTGTAATTTGTTTCTTAGCTTAATTCACAATTAAAAAGATTCAATTGTAGTATTATAACTGGATATAGTCAGTTCAAAATCCTGAAATTAACTTAGTAGAAAAATTGTTGATTATTTTAATCCATCAAGAAGAATTAGAACCAGGGTCTAGAAAATGGAAGACTTGTTAAATATAAGAAAATTCAATCTAAAACAGTTTTATAGTTATATCTCACTTCCTTTTAAACACAAATAATGATGACAGTCTAAGTACATTGTCATTATTTAGGAAATTCAAAATCTTTAAATAAGAGAAAGCTAACTAGAATAATTACCCAGTATTTTAAATAAACTGACCTGCTTTTTGGCACGGTTTTTCACAAAATTTTGTACATTGTGCCAACATGCTAACATAACATTTAGAAACATTTTCACAATTATGTGACAATATTGTTGTACAGTAGACCCCCCTATAACATGGGTTCATATAACACAGTGGAAAAATTGCGATCATGTTCGTATAACACGGTAAAAGAATGAGACAGATTGTCACAGCCGACTTGTGTCTCGGCAGGATTGTCAAATCTGGACCAGTAGTGGACATTGTACAAACCATTGAGTTTAAACGTGCAGTGGACCTACTAAAAACCATTTATTATTCAAAGGCCATAAAAATTATATTTCTATTAATGATGTCTCCAAAGTTCAGCGAATTTTCACAGAAACAATAACTTATCAGGAAACACGTAACAACCGTCCAATGAGCCGCTCCGCGACGAAAACAAGCTCAAGCAATGGCATCTTCAAACAGTGTGCACTCGTTAAGTATTCCTACAATTTTTTGTTTATAGCCTAGTTTATATGGATTATTCCAAAAAAATTATATTTGTCTTGGAAATGTTTGAATCAAATTAGCCTAGAATCAATTAATTTTATGGAAGAAAATCTTTCAAACAGCCGTACCCCCTAAACTGCACAAGTGCTGGGTTGTGAACAGTTCATGTATTTGTAAAATCTAAGTGACTCATACAACACGGAATTAATATAACACAGAACTTATCTACCGTGTTTTAGGGGGTCTACTGTATTGCATTGTTAGAGATTAATAACTTATTAAATTTTTTATCTGTTGTAAAATTCTCCTTGAAGATTAACTTATATACAAAAAATGAAATTTGAATAAAGTTTATCTCAACATCCCAAAGGTCGATATATAAGCATAACCAAACCACTGCCTTAAATAATTGAGCTATAAATTGGATTTACAGCCTATTATTTAAGGCAATCATTTGGTTAAAGTTTATCTCATAAGTACTTATTCTAAAATGGATAGATATGACTTTATCACAATATTGCATTGTCCAAATCAGTAAAGTTTTTGAAGTTCAAAACATTGTTTCTTAATAAAGATATTAAAATTTTTTCCTCTGAGTTAAAGTTTGAAATTACAAAACAGTTCATTGTAATAAAAATTTCCAAATCTCACTTTGACAAAATTGGGTTAAAAAAATAATGTATGTATAAATCAATAATGGAGTAATAATAACTAATAAAGTATCTGTCTAATATAATATCCAGTATGTGTATGTACATCACTAGTTCTGTATAAATTGCTTTTTATTGGTTGACTGTGCCTATTTATGGACTGTTCAAATTTTTCTTAGAATAATTCTTTAATTAATAATTTATTCAATTCACTTACAAACATCTAAACACAATAGTTATAGCCCAACAATTGTTTGGCTTTAATGCATGTTACTACTACTATCATCAATTAAATGCTAAGTAATTTGGCACTAGAGGCAGGTGTTAGGTCCCATTGCTTGTTAAATTTAATAATTAATTTATTAAATTTAGTAAGAAATGACACCTAATGTCTGCCTCTAATTCCAAATTATTTAGCATTTAATTAATAATAGTAGTAGTAGTATAGCCTGGTATAATCGGGCAATAATTTGGTTTCAATTCACTTACATTTAAGAAAATACATTACTTAGTATTAAGCTGGACCAAAGCATTTAAACAGGTTTTAATTCCTCCCCACACAATCATTCAATGTAAAATTTTTCTAACACTTTTCAGTTTAACCAAATTAATTAGTCTTCTGAAATTGTTATCCTATACAGGGCATCCATTAACTGGAAAATTTCTCATAACTAATTAGTTTAATCAAATTCAGAAAATTTTAGCACAATCTTATTTTCTCTGTATTTAGCTTGTTTTACCATGATATAAAAGCCTATAGCAGAGCTATAAAATATTTCCTATTTTTTATTTTACAATTTTAATATGTTATGAAAATTATTTTTATATAAATTAATTGCAAATTTTTACTGTTACTCTCAAGAATTTTATAATTATAAGAATTATTTATAGTTTCGTTTTGAAATGACATCACTTACTGTTATAAATTCATTGTATTTCAAATTATATCAGGATATTTTTAATTTGGTACATTAGGCTGGGCTTAATAAATTCAGAAAGATTATAAAATTAATTGAAACATTCATATGAGGTGGAGTAATGCAGTTCAAGAGAATTGTAGATGCCCAGTGGGATTGCACTTCACGGTGTGCATTTCATAGCCATGTTGCACTGTTTTGGTTAAACAGCATACTTATTAAAATTCAGTTATAAAACATAAGACTAGTGAGACCTCACATCTTTTTCTTCCACTTTCCATATTAAATCAGAGACCAACACCTCTGATTTAATATGGATATTGGAAGAAAAAGATGTGAGGTCTCACTAGTCTTATGTTTTATAATTGAATTTTAACTTAAATGGAATGGATATATAAATTAAAAAAAAAATTTTATTATTGGTTTTTTATTATTTTATTGTTGAGATTTATCAATGTTTTGAAAGACTTTTTAAATAAACAATACGGCCCACTATTTATTTTGTACTATTTTAAACTATTGGTATTTATTATAGTTTTATAAAGTAAATTAAAATACTTTTTTACAAGAGATGCATTTATTACAACAGAGATTTCAAAAATGAAGGAAAATTTTTATTATTCCAAAAAATAAACACTGACTAAACTATTTAGATGTCTACAATCCATTAAAACTTTCCTGAGTAATAATAATAAATATTGAAGTCAAGCTTACTGTTGTAATAAACTTGAAAAAAGAAAAAATACTAATCGATGGAAAACAATTTCTTTTTAGTTAAGTTTGGACTGGTTTATCATCAGTTTAAAGGAGTGGAAAATAAAATATTCCCAATCTCCCTCAATTAGAAACAATGACATGAATTTGATTTTAAATAAAATTAATAATGAATTTAACATGGCCAATGGTAATTTACATTTAATAATATAATAAATATAATTACAACTTTTAACAAAGATAAAACTTTGCTTCAGTCCTTTCCTTCCGTTGTTTGCACCATCAGCAGTTCATAAAAATCACAAAACTCATGGAGACGACCTTCCTTTTTAGGCTACTGCCTCTGTAGTAAAAAATGCAAAGTATGATAAAAGCATCATCTGGTGTCCTTGCCACAATCACAATGGAAGGAAAGGACTGAAGCAAAGTTTTATCTTTGTTAAAAGTTGTAATTATATTTATTATATTATTACATGAATTCAAATGTTATTATCTGAAAACTGAATTTAATAATTAATTATTAAATTTAATAACAGTCTTTGAAATTTTCTGTTTTATTTGAAACAGAATATTTCATTTGCTTGTATACACAACTCTATTAAAGCTGCCTTACCAGGCAATGAACCCTGTCTTGAAAACAGAAGCTAGTAAATATATTAACATTACAATATATTATTACATTCATTCTCACATTCTTTTCAGTTATGTTGACAAGTCTGTAGCATACAAACACTGTAGATTACTATTTATATTTGTAGTTTTGTGCTTACTAATAAAGCATTGATTATGTGAAATGATGTAAAATTTGCACCTTGTGATGAGAAGTCAATGCCCAGAAGTTGGACATATAATGCCTACCAATAGGCAGGCATTTGAATTGCTCCCAGAAGGAAAAACTTAAAGCATGATGGTGAAAGGCTTGATGTGGAAGGCTCCTTCATGATTTGACAAATATATGCTCAATTTTGATAGTCAAATGAATAGTTTTTTATTTGCAGAAACAATTTGAAAAGGGGCAAGTGGAACCCTGCTATGTTTATCCAACTTGCAGCTCTGCATAAACCATTAAAACTGACAAATTGTTCTAAGAAAATTTGAATTCAAATGCAATTTCAGTAGACATGCATATACCAGCAAAAAATCATGTCACTATAGTAAAAGTAATATTTTCAGAAACAAGACTGACAAAACTAAACTTAATTATTGATAAATCTTACCATTTAACAAAAACAAGTAACTAAGTGTGTGCATTTTGCAATAAACTTGAGTTAATTTTAATTCAGGCTAAAGCAACCAAAATAATTGAATCAAAACTCAAAATTATTATAAAATTATATATCAGATATGATAACATTACCACAAGTTAAATATGCCAATTTTAACAAATGGTGCATGCCTGAATTCAAATATTTGCAAAATTGGATAAGTTTTTGCTGTTGCAAAATTTATATTTCTGATCCTAAACAGAGAAAATTATTAGCAGATGACAGTCTTTTCTTTTATCATAATTTTATAACTTAATAAATCTGCTTAGTTTTAAGTAAAAGCTGATTGTTTTTGATGTATTACAGTAACCAATTTAGAATTTTTAAGTTTGATTTTCTTGACTGCAATTAAATTGAATTACTTCTAACAACATTGCCCATCCTAATATTGACATGTTTCATTTCCTCCAACATTTTTGATGGGTACAACTAGATATAGACAACTATCACTTTTCTTGAGTTTGAATATTAACCTGATCACTAATATTAAAGTATCTAGAATATATGAAATAGCTCACCAACTGCTTCTACAAGCTGGATTGTTTAATCAACACTCCGAAAACCTTATTTTAACACCAGTAGGAGTTTAATCTTTCATGTGGACGTGGACAAATGTTTTGACCTAATTATAGGTCTGCTTCAGGTCTTCAAAATCATGTTTGATGTTCATAGTATGACTACTACAAATATTTAATGAATTTAATTATCTTATGTAGCTTATTTAGTTAAAACAAGTTAATAAATATTAAATAAATTATTTAGTTTGATATATTAATAAAGTGAAACAAAAATCATTTCTTAAAATTTAGTAAATTGAACTTCAAACTTTTAATACTATCTAAAAAACTATTTTAAAACTAACTCTTATTTGCTAATCTATTGTAGTTCAGATAATTGTTGTTGTTCTTATTTACAGAAGATTTTTTTATTTAAGAAAACATTGAATCTAATCTGTTCTTTTGTCACAAATTAAATCTCAGGTGTTGTCTGTATGTGGTGACAATACAAAACATACAACTTTTTGTTTATTTTGAAGTTCAAAACACTTTTTAAAAACATTAATAAACCACATTTTGCCATCATAAGACTCCTTGCAATACAATTGTCATGCACATGTTAATGAAAATTAAGAATATTTGAATAACTACCTTTCGAGTTATTTAGAAATACCTCTTTGGCTACTTCTAGATCTGTCACTGTGATTGTACCGATGGCACAATATTGGATGTATTCATAACATTCAAATTTATTTTTTATCAATGTAATGTTCAAAATCTTGAATCTTTTAAACATCATCTAGTATTAGAGTATTTGACCATCTGTAGTCACAGCTAGTTTTAGAATATTAATTTGTATATATAAAAAACACTGTTTTTGAAGATGTCTACACAAGGCTTAGTTAACTATTTCTACAGAATGCAATATTAGGAAACAAAATACAGTAGACTCCTGTACAATGCAGGGGATACATTCTATGTTATAGGAAATCATGTTATAGGGGACATACATTATCAGACCAATTTATGCAAGTTCAAACATGTCTCTAAATTTTAACTGTTATCACAAAGGGTCAAAGATTTCCCAAACATTTTTCCAAAATTATAGAGGAAGGCAATTATTTAGCAGAATAAGTCTACAACATTGGTGAATTTGCTTTGTATTGGAAAAAAATGCCTGACAGAACATATTGTAAAAGATGAGACTTCTGCTTATGGTTTCAAAGCATCAAAAAAAGATAGGATAACTTTACTCTTGTGTTCTAATGCAGCTGAAGAACATATAACTAAGCCAATGTTAATTAATCTTACATTACATCCAGATGTAATGAAAAACTTAGACAAATCAACACTTCCTGTTCACTGGAGAGCTAATAACAAAGCGTGGATTATGTGCAAAATGTTTAAAAATTGGTTTTATAACTGTTTTGTACCAGAGGTTGAAGGTTATTTACAACAAAAAAAGTATTTTTTAAACTGTTGGCTTTACTGTTCGTATATAAACAACTAGTAAGTGTATATTTTCGCTTTTCTAAAAATAAATCTGAAACTATGTGAAAACATAAAATTTATGTTACGCGTTATACAGGACTGTTTATTGCGTTGTATGAGTTTGTCGCAAAATTTTCGTCCCATTATAAGGAAGCGCATTATACAGGTGTCCACTGTATTGTTTCTCAATGCTTTCATTTTCTCAAACATTAATACTACTACTGTAGAGAGAATTTTTACACTAATTCTTTTTTTTTAGTCAATCGTGTTTTTAAAGCTAGATAATGCTTGTTTGAAGAGTTAGGCTGAGTGTTACTATTTTTTTCATGCTTGTTACATTTATCTTATTCTTTTCACGCATCCTTTACATTTAGACAGAAACTCAAAACAGATAAAGATAAGTAACTCTGACATTCATCACTATCTGTTCATAAAACTGGCAATCCAATCATAAAGCTTGAAATAGGCCATCAAGATTATCTAGTTGTTAAAACATTACCGTAGAAAAATTTTGGATGAAACATGTAAACACCAAAGGCACAATATTGTATATAATACACTAAAACCTCTTTTTGAATCTTCTCTGCTGAAAAGTGTATATGCCTAATATAACTGCCATAACTTTGGATATGGTAAGTTGCTAGTTAAAAAAAAAAAAAAGGTAGACTCAAGAGGAGTTGAATTTTTAGTTTCTCGAAAAAAAATTCAGTGAAAGATTATAGAAGTGAATATTCTGTTATCCAGTATGGATCTTGATTTTCCATAAATTATTAGAATCTGAGCATTGGTACTTCTCCAAGCTGAATGATTTAAAAGTAGAATCTGGACACTGATGGTAGATAAACTTGAAGCAAGCCTAATCCTAAAAATATGATTTGAGGCACTAATAGATATGTTACAACTTCTTGCAATTAAGAACACTTCAGAACAGTTACTAATGTTATAATTTTGATTATTTACTTTTCCTACAATTTAAAATGTATATTAAATGCCTATATTTTTTACAGGTTTGACTCTAGACAGTATTTATGGAAAGACAAAAAAACATTAATTATTTTCAAAATTAATTTTGGACTGTTTGTTTGGAAAAATATAGATTTGATATGTATAGAATTTTTTTAACCTGTAGATTTACACTTGAATCATCAAACAAATTTGTCGGGATTTATTTATTTTAAAATGTGAATGACTAAAAAATTCTTGTTTATGAAGTGAATTGTTGTTTGTTGTTAATATTTAGAAAAATATATACAGAACTCAAAAGATTTATTTCTTTTCTTAAAAACTATTTCATAATTAAAGAATTTCCAAATTTTATAAACAAACTTTTTAATTTGGAGATTAAGAAAAGAAAAATAAATACTTGCAGCCAATTTGTTAAATAATAAACTTTTGTTGATTGGCTGCAGCTGTGCAGTTAATTTTATTTGGAATGAATCCTTATAAAGGATTTCCAGTTTATTTTTTATGAAAACTTGTGGTTCTTCCAACTTGTTCTTTACACGTGGGAAGAGAAATTTTTCACATTGGCAGCAGATTAACAACATATAGTTTTGCAGTAAAATTTGTACATGGTAAAAGATATGGTTAGAATAATTCATTTGCAATTAAATCACAGGACTCCAAACATCCAAATCCTTTCTGGGCTGCCTTACCCAGAAAGGATCTTCACCTTCTAATTTTATTTTTATCCTGCATAAAATCAGGACGAAGGATTGAACTGCCACAAAGAATGCCTACACGATCATTTCACTACAGTTTCGTAATCCGGAGGTGGTAACTCAAAACTGTTGCACATTGCACCGGCCATCATTCTTTCTTCTTTGAAAAGAGACGGCGAAGGACAATACAATGCCTCCTCGTAAGAAGGGGGCCTATCTGGCTGGGCAGTCACGGTCTGCATGGCAATGCAATAGTACGGAGGAGGAGTGGTTCCCGTCGCCTCCTCGGGGCGTTCCGGCGAGTAATTTCCGTACGGCAGAGTAAGCGGCAGAAATCTGCTGGTTATGGCAAAGACGTGATGTTGCTCCAGCTCCCTTCTGCCCGCCCTGTCTGCCAGACGCGCTCTCACCTTCAGCAATGCCGTCAGCACACAAGAAAATATCACCACCAGCAGCACTATGAACAAAACCAGAAGTATTTGACTGGCAGGATCTGTTCCTCTGATGTAGGCAATAAACGGTATTATAAGCGGGAAGAACAAAAGAACACAGCGAAAGATCTTTTTGTAAACGGGTCTGGATGCCTTGTTTTTATCGAATCCCTCTTGTTCTGCATCTTCTCGAGAAGGTGGGCGCTCTGTTTCATCTCCATCGGTTCTGGACCTTCTTCCCGTATCTAATACCTATTGGAGAAAACAATCCATAAATTAATATCGCGCGCACACAATCGACGAACAGAAAAAGCACCTTGCATTAATTTTGTAATCACTGTTTCGGAAGTTTCACGATCTGTTTTTGAGTTAGATATATTATTAACTTAATAAAATTTTTCAAAAATTTACCTGGATAAGAATGAAAAATTATTTGAAAAGTCAAATTTTCCGACTAAATCTCCAGATAAAGTGAAAAAAGAACAGGCAAATTAACAGATGTCCGGATAATCGAAACAACATTCGAACTATTCGTGCATCCAGCAGCAGCAAATCGATTCGATGGCGCGTTTTTATAGAAACGACAGTGATTTATTTTTGGAACGTCAACAAAAGTCAAATAGTAAACACAGACTATTGATAATTAACGACTTGTTTTTTTTTTTTTTTTTTTGTCTTCTCCAACTTTAAACAGAAGGAAATCTTCCAGTTGTTAATTTCCAAAAGTGACATCTCTTTGCTCTACTAAATTTATAGTTTATTGAGCGTTTTTCATTGTAAACACGTTCGAACCATTTGAAACCTTGCGTTAAATCTATGCGGTTTTTTTTTATCCAATTGTTTAAAAACTCTAAACCTTAATTAATACGAAAAAATTAGTGTGCAAACTTTCATCTCCCATCCTCCTCATTGTTTATAAATAACGTACAAACTACAAAAATAATGGTTTTTACTCGGAGAAAAATTATTTTTCCGTAGATATAACCCCATTATATTCCGGTTTCCAATTTTATGGGCGCGAAAATGAGGGTTTATAACGCGAGTATCCGTTCACGCTATCCTTGGAGACGTTTTTAAGATTCCATCGATAAAAGCTTTAAAACATATCTTCGGAATGGCTATAAAAATTGTTTTTTTTTATCGCAAGTTAACCTTTTTTTTCGTCTCGATCGAAATGTTTTATAGAAAATTGTTTTTCGAAATTTTCTCTAGAGAGAAAGGATGACAAAAATTGATTTCGGAACTCGAAACTTCACGATCTCCGGGGAAAGAGAAACAAAGTCGGAAAAGTGAAACGAATTCCAAAAAATTATTTATATGCAAAAAATATTTCGGGAATTAAATCACTTTTTTAAAACCAATAAAATGCTGTTTTACATTTCTGTAACATAAATTCTATAGGATGAGAATTGATGCAAGTTTGACATACTGACGCCAAATAAACGAATAATTGAGATAATTGGGCTAGTTAATGAATCGACGACTCATAGTAATGTTACTAAAACATTAATCGTGCTGCCATCTTTCGCATAATTAATTAATTAGTCTTTCTCTTCCGATTTTTTGTTTGATTTGGTGAGGACACACGGGGAATTCACAATTTAGATAAGCTAGTTTATCATTTTTCTAAATTTTTGTTTCTTTCTGGAACCGAAAATAATAATTTTTGAACTGTTCGACTTTCATTATTCTCTACTTCCTTAACCGTGTTAATTTAATTAATTCGTGCAGCAGACGTTTACGGATTATAATGAGCCAAACTCGTGTCCACAAATTAATGTCCGTTTACGTGACTTTAATAATGAAGTAATTCGTAAGTTGCACAACAATGGTTTTTATGCCAGAGTAGAGAACGCTGCTCTACTCTGGCATATCTGTGAATGTTTTTGGACCCAAATCCGGAAAAACAATTTAGAAAGTAGGAAGCAAATTCTGTAAAAAATAATCCTGTTTAGGAGTAAAAACAATTTCTGTGGGAATGATGTCTCTGTTACAGTTCACTATTCCTTTACGTGATAAGTGCAACGCTCTTAACCTCTACCTCGTTTCCTAAATCCATACACACCCATAAAAACAATTCTATACGAGACACTCATCAATAACTAATTTATACGGGCTTAAACGTTTTACCCCTTTGTTTGCACACGAAGACCCAGAAAGAACCAATAAACTATTCTATGCAAAGCACCCTTCTGTGTTTGAATTTCTGATCTCTATCTTCACCACCATTCTAACCGAATTATCACAGTTCTTGAGAACCGAAGCCGATTGTCTAGTATTTAAGATTTTTATAAAGATACGTCGGGATAGCTTTACAGTGTCAATAAGTTGTAGAACAAGGATTTTAAAATCTGAAAGCGAATTTAATAAAAATGGCCGAAACGACAGAACCCGTGATATATATCGATTAGGCAAACAAAATCGAGAGGATGCTCCTCAGATGCACTCCGGAATGGAATAGATGATATCTTTTCTAGTGCTTTCGAATCTAGCGAGTAAAAGCTAAAAGTTGTTCTATCCTGTGTAAATTAATCCTTGATCCTGTTGCTATACTGTACACCCAATCTCTAGCTACAGCTATTATTCAGCTGGTAACAGCAGGAGGTATCATTTCGCATCGTAACAAACTCCAGACGGGCAACGAAAAAAATGAGCTCTCAGAAAATTGAGCAATAATCCCATTTGTATCAATAATCAAATCGTAAACATAGCGTAAAATTGCGTTTTTACGATTCTGTTGGCTGCAATACCCGTCATATACTATTTAAAGGTGTAGGAGAAAATCTATGATTTTACCTGAAAACTTCGAAGAGTACGGAAATAAAATATTTAAAAAGATCGATATAAAAATAACTACTCCCGGAAAACCGTTGAAAATACCTCATCATATATTAAAGACGTCCGCTTGTACATTATTGATTGCTCCTTTCCACTTACTTTTTCTTTTAAATTATTGTAAAGAAACCTTACCAACAATAACAACAGTAAAATTGTGTGTCTAGCCTCCGAATTCGCCATATTTTTCGATTTTTTAATGTCTCATATATATATCAATTAAAATAGCGAAAATGTCGATTTCGAAGCGCTCTAATTGGTTAATTTCGATTGTAATTAAGTAGTAAATGTTATAATAGCGTTATTATTCGTACGGTGTAAGATTTTTATACGCGTAAAAATCCCGTAAATCGTTCAATTCGCGCGTATTTTATACTGTTCTCAGGACGTCCAGTTTGACATTAGCCTACATTCTCGGCTTCTATCAGTTACTAAGACGAATAATGGTGGATAATTATAAAATAACGATCGAATTAGCGCCGAAAATAGCATTCGATTCGAACATTCGTTCTAATTTTAACTATAAAGTATATAAAATGTGACGTAAAAACGATTATTATCTCGTATATAAAAGGCTAGTTTATGAACATTCTCGAAGCGTTGATAGCAATTGTTACAGCTTATGTAATAATTTTAAAAAAAGAGTAGTTCTTACCGTAGAATCGGGAACGGGAACGGGAGCGAGAGCAGAAGAGGAAGACATTACTTAGCTCTGCTTTACGCGAAACTGGAAACGAGAGAGAAGGCGCGAGCGTTGTCATGGCGATGCAACCTTCGACGTCACCGTCAATTGACAAGCTCTGACGTAGACAATGTAAAGAAGAAAAACTCCCCTAAAATTTCTGCTTTAAAACTTTAATTAAGAAAAATTAATTAACTCACTAATTAACTTTTATTAATTTACATCATCCTGGCTTACATTTCTTCAGTAATTTGTTTTTCTTTTATGTTTTTTGTTTAATTAAAGGAAGCAACTAATGATGAAAATGCATGCGATTCCAGTTCGAATTCCATCCGTAATCAGAATGATGGTTTTAAAGATTTCGAAAATATTTTGTTTCCTATCGATAAATGTAAACTTTCCACCCGTATGAATCGGTTTTTTTCAGTTTTAATTACGTGTAGAAAGTTGATACATTTGTCGAGGGTTATTGACCCATTAATCGATTTCGACTGTTACTAGTTACGCGAATCGGAATCGATAAAAGTAAACATTTTACGAATTACGCTGTTGGTTTATTAATTTTTTTAAAAATTTGTATATTTACAGATTTAATCAAAATTGTAATTTTTTAGGAATTTTTGAACCTGTTTGCAAAATTGCAGATAAACACATCATTTCTTCCTCTCAAATCTTTTATCATTCCCTGCAAGAAATGATACATCAGTCAGTGACTATCCTTGCAGGAAAGTGACTTTCAGGGTCACATACAGCTTATCTGTACCCTTTCAACATAATTATATACAGATGCATGTAAAGATTGGATACAGAAACAATGATGTATATTTTTTTTTGCAAACTAATTTTACAAAATTCTCGAATTTTGATTGAAAATTATAATTATAATTCATATCTGCAATATATCATCCAGCTATCAATAATGAATAATAAAGTAATGATGATGAAAATCAGGAAAAGGATCATCTTGATAATATCAAAATCTGATTTATGAATTTTTCAAAATCTATAAATCATTAATGGATTTCTAGATTAGAAAGAGTAGATGTGCCAATTTTTATAATGCATGGGCACCTGTCTCTTACGGTTCTTTGTAAACCGAGGATTCGAGTCCTACCCCGTGCCCCGAGAGACCGAGGCATTAATCCGGCCCGGCCGTCTCCCGAAAATTGGAGTCGTCCGTCATCCATTTATTGACATTTACTTAAAAGTTTGAAAAACGGAGACAATCGGTCATAAAAAAGGGGGTTGGAATTTTTCCAAGACATTAAAAATAACTAGGAGATTGTATTGATAATGTCATATTTTCTTTTTGTTTTTCTTGATTAATTTCAAGGCCAACTATTGGAAATCAATTTGTTATTAAGTATTTTATCTACAGAATAATAATAAATTTGCCATCTCTAGAGATATGGCACTGAATCAAAGTCTTTTTTCTTTGCTTCACTCCAATATCAACAAACAAAAAAATTATCATCTTATTTCTAATTGAATTTATAATTTTAAAATTATACAAAATTATCTTTCACTTAACAAAATGATTGAATGTATAAAACTTTATAAATTTTGCATAGGAAATTGATTTTGGAATGTTTTAATGATTGATATCAGCCATTTTTTCAATATTTCTGGACGGATTTCGTGCCAAATTTGTTCTTTCCTATTCTAACAAAAATAAATTTTATATTAAATTCTAAGAAATTTTCTATGCTATATTAAAATCTCTTTTATTTATGTAATTTGAAGAGAAATTTTTGAAAATATCTCAATGGGATAAAACAAAAATTACCATTAAAATCAATTTAAGGAAGCCAAATAAAATATTAAAAAATAGTAAGCAATTTTTACTCACAGATATTGAGTTTCAATTATTTTTCTTTTTTTTTTTTTTTAATACTAAACATTTATTCTGTACAATAGAATTTTGCTCTGGAATCTCGCAAATATACCCGGTGCCAAATATTCTGTTAAAAAATAAATAAGATCTTTATTTCTTCTTTAATATAACATACATAATTGTTTTACATTTTTTATTCTGTAAAAAAAAAAAAAGAATAAAGGCTTACTACTGACACAGACTGCAACTTCACTCTTTACTCCATGTCTTCAGTTTTGAATTTATTATTTTAAAATTCATTGAAGAGTAATTATTACATAAATAGAAATTTTACAAAACTTTACATTCTGCTATTATTAGTAAATTATTATATTAATAAATGTATAAAATGAAGAGTGCTACTTTTAATTGCTTCAAAGTAATGCAATTATTAAAAAATAAAACAGTGTACAAAATGAAATAAAATTAAGTACTAAAATAGCAATTTCTGCTTAATAATCTATTAAGTAATTTATTTATAATTTTTCGGCTCCTTTAATTATTTACTCAAGCTTTTACTTCATAATTATCTAAATGAAATTATTTGCGTAAGTTGTATAAAACTTTGATGAGATCTAACAAAAACAATCAATTTTTTTGTAATTAGTTTGTGTGTTGCATCTGGACTTGACAAGCATCTGCTGTAATATATAATAATAATCTTTTGGCAACAAGACAATTTATTTTCAAATATATTTATTATCACTAAGGTCTAAAAATTCTACAAAATTTCAAAAATAATAATAAATGTATAATTTAATTTATTTTTAAATAGGATTTTATAGAGACTTTGATGCTTAATTTATCGGCAAATCTCATATGTAATAACGAAAATGAAAAATTAGAAATGAAATACTATCTTATGTAGTTTGAATTGTATTTAGAATAAAATGAATGCTAGATTGTTGCCTGAAAACCACTGATTAAAAACAGTCGCTATATAGAATCCCACAGGAACTTACTGTTCAGTAACAGCTGCAATATTCAACATTTTAAACATTTATGTATATGTTTATTAACAAACCAGCCATAAAATAGAAATGACAAGTAATTTATTTGGCCATCTCATTTTTTAGAAATATAGAATCCATTTACAGTTAAAAAGTAAGGTACTACTTTTCAGTAATAAGGCAATTAAAGTTTAAAATGAAATGGTATATGCTATAAAATTACAAATAAAACAGTGAAAAGATACTAATCAGAATTCAATCTAAAGAACTTAAATCATTTATTGCATATTACTTGCCAATTCTGTTTTTAGCAATTGATTTGATTTAAAATATTAAAAGTTTAGGACAGTGTTTCTCAACCCCTAACGAATCATCACCCCCTTCAGTAAAACCGTTACGTAGTATAGCCCCCTTCACTACAAAATTCCGATGCCGAGGGCCAAGACTAACACCAAATTCGTACTGCATTGAATAGAATAGTGACTAGTATAATGTTATTTGTTTAATTATTGTAGATATAACAAATAAAATATCTAATTATTCTTAATATATTGTTTTACTATATTGCCCAGAAAATTACTTTTTGCCCCCCAAAATATAAATTGTTACAAATTGCCCTCTCAACATGGAAAAACGCCCACATGGGGGTGATATCGCCCCCATTGAGAAACACTGGTTTAGGAAACCAAAATTATTCATTTCCCAATGATACAGCATTTCTGGCCATTTTATGACATCTTCAGCTTATAATGAACAATATAGAAGAGTACTTCTCAGATCATTGGTCTTCAGACTGAAATCAATCTATAAAATGTTTCCAGAAAAGAAAAATGTGATATGAAGTAATACCATGTTTTCAAAATATACATATTAATATAATATTGGTAATATTGTTGTACTACTACAGTATATATGCACCTAATTACAAAGATACTGGCAATTAAATAACATACTGGTTCCTATCAAATCGGGAAAAATATTCCCAATCTACACATCAATTAGCTTGAGAAGCACCAATGTGGAACACATTTGTGTTCACACATCATTCATTTGTTTTCATTGCAAGCCAAAGATGGTCACAGAATGGCTGTTATTCAATCAGTAACATTTTCAGTTTTAGTTTCTGAACTTAATATTTTGATATTTTAAATTACAACACTGTGCTGAATTTCATACATTTACATGACAGTTGATTAATTTATACATACCAATATTAATGCTTAGATTTTCAATATTTTGATAGATTAAAAAAAATAATAATTTATGATTGTAACCTTTTTAAATTTGGCACTTATGGCCAGTTTCTTCAACTTTTTTAGCATTTGCTTGGATGTGCCAAAATATACGGAATAAATTTCATATATTTTTATGTCTATTATATATATATACATACATATTACATAACAAATATGTCCAATCATTTGAAAACTATGTACATCTAATTCATTTAAAATGAAAACAATTTACAATCTAATTCAAATTTTAAGTATTATCTATCAAAATTTTAAATATTTTGTGATGATAAAATCTTTTTCTAATTAAAAAAATTTATCTTTGGCTATTATAAAAATGAATATAAAATATACTCGTGCACAAATCAATAATTTTAAAACTTACTTAATGTAAAATGACAAATATTCTTGCAAATATTCACAAATGTTATATACAATACAATTGTTACAGTTTACCAATTTTGGTTTTCTTAAAAACAACTGAATTTTTCTTCAAATTTTTTAATGCTCAGAACCTCCCCGAAACCTCTGTTCGGATCCATGCTTATGAAGTCATCTAAATTACTATTAAATCCTGTAAAAAATAAAAATATATATGTTTTTGGTATGTTCCAATATCCTTAAAATAAGAAAATTTCGAATTATTTATCATAAATATATCACTTGAATAATGAAATTGGAGCAGAATATTGTTCAAAAATATTCAAAAGGTACAAAATAGTACTCCAAAACAGCATTTCTCAAATTTTTTGCTCATGAGACCCAACATATTTGTAATGGTTCAGCAATCCAAATGTTTATAATATAAAACGAGCAATTATTTACTATTGTGACATCATCACAATGCTGTCTGCTACATCAGCAGACAGACAGATGTAACTCATAGTTTGAGAGACACTGTTCTAAATTACCAGATATAAATCATCATCCACATATCTCCTCTAATTACTTAGAAAACAAAATGTGCTCAAGTCTGTTACTATGGTTATAATGGATCCTGATGATAAATATATACCATTTGAAAATGCTTTAATCTTTTTTATATGCTCTTCTACTCCATTAAAGCATTTTTTGTTATAATTTTATTATTTTGGAGTGTTGACTTTATTCAAACATTATAAATATTTTATTAAATTATTCTCTCATTTCTTTAATGGCCACTTTTATCGACAATTGCAAAATCAGATAAGAAAAGCGAAGCCATTCGTCTTACGCATCTTGGATAAAAATGCTCACTGTAATTTAATTTAAGAATATTTGATAAAATCTAAAAATAATTCTATAAATGGCATTTTGAAAGACAATGGAGTTCAGCTAGATAGAATTTTTACTGATCATTTTTGTAATCATGTTTCTTAAACAACAATAAATTAGAATAATTCATATCTATAAAAATAACTATGTTATCATTGCATTCATTTTAAAATAGTTAAAATATTTTTTCCAAAATGATCTAATTACTCATTATTTTAAAAAGTTTTTCATCAGATATGACTTTTTTTTTTAAATAATGTAAATTATTTACTCTCCATTAATTCATTTATACATATTTAAACATTATATAATCAATTAATTAAAATTTTGAAATATTACAATTATTTAAAACAAAATAGATATCATCATCACTGTTGAGGTTTCAAAAATTCTCATTAAAAACAAATAAGGTAAATGGCCATATCCAGATAAACACTTCATCCTGTATGCCTTTTTTGTCCACATTATGAGTTTGGCCATGTCGACAACAAGGCAAACATATTGACCAAACCATCTGTAAAAATTTCTGAGAATCTGACCTAGATTTAAATCCAGATTTCTTAGTGGCAGGTGATGCCTTTGCCTGTGTTAGACAGCTGTGTCTAGATAGAAAATACAGTGGACAAAACTGACAGATAATACAACATAAGAAATAAAGTTACACACATCAAACAAATTAAAAGTTTATTAATTTAAAAAATTCTATATAAAAAAACAAACACCATATTTCCCTGCAAATAAGAGCCTACTCTTATAAGTGAAAATTGCTCATTTTCATATTTTAAAAATAGACAACCTGCTTTGCTTATAAGAGCATTGCATTGCTGTATCAATGTAAATTAAATGTAACTGAAACAGTGAAATGACATTCCTGTGGTAACCATTATTAAAAATTACTATGAAAGTTTTTCTTTTTAAAAAATAGTGAGTTTTATAAGTACTTTATGTATATTCTGTAATTTTGCCTCTTTTGTAAGAATATGCTCTTCTGTGCTTGGAAATTGATAAGTTGTAACAAAAATGTCTCGTAACAAAGTAATTTAAAAATAATACAAAAATTTAGTTACTAAGAAATAAAACAATACCATTAAGAATAGAGAATTTGATGATAAAAATTTATCATCACACATCAGTGATAAAGAACTGTCTGTCCATACATGCATATGTATGTATGTAAGTATATATAAAAATATTAGCAAGTAGATAAATTCAATTATTTACAAATGAATTATTGTACAAAAGTCTATCAAAACACATTACACATGAATGCAATGAAGAAAAATAAGAACAGAGTATGTCCAGAACAGAATATGGTAATATATTAAGTTTATTTGGTGTAAGTTAGACTTTTTAAGTCGTTTTTTCGAGATACTGGAATCAAAGAATCATATAGATACACCATAACATAATTTCAAATTTTACAAATAAAAACTTGTGAAAATGAAAAACAAATTTTCACAGTATATTATGTCTACTTCATTAATATATAAATGTCAGTTATCTCTGCGGATACTTCTACTAAGAAAAATACCAGAAATATATTAACAGAATTAACTTAAGATTAAATATTTTTCCAAATTTTGCTATTAAACCTTAATTCATAATTAGCTAATTTACTAAGATCAAATATTAGTTAGTTTTCCATTATTAACATAAACAATAAATTTTATCAGAATTTCTTCTACACAGTGCACTCAGAGTTTCAATGAAAATGTGATAGATGTTTGTGCTTTACTTTTTCCATTTGTAAACATATTAGAATTCATATCCTTGAATGTTATTATGGCATTAACATTAAATGATGTGTTAGAATACCTTAAATTAGAATTAGCAGAAAATGAAGCTTGGTTTAAGAAGAAAAGGTTTTAAAAGCAGGACACCTTATTTTGTTGTTGGGTAAAAGAAAATATTACTGGCAACTGTAGTGTGCTTACTTTGTGCCAACAGACTATAACACCATGTGATAAAAGCCCAGTGCTCCTGCAAATGTGATTCAGGTGGCTGCAAGTATATTGCTACTGCACTTCTATTTCTTAACAGGCAAGTTTCATTCAAGTCATAAAACTTAAAGTAAATTTAATTAAGAAGTGCTGTCTGAGGACTTATTAGTAAGAATATTTCAGATAATTTCTTTTAATGACTTAAATAAATAATTACTACTACAAATTACCTATTGAAAATCAGCAATTTTTTATTACAAACCTATTTCTCTACACCAAATCTTGCAATGTCTACCAATGGCATAACTAACTTTAACATTTATATAGAAAACTAAACCAAGTCTACAGATAATTCTTAATAGTTATTAAAAAAAATTGTGTCAGGCAAAGGAAAAAAAATGAACAATATTCTTTTATATGGCATGGGTAAACAATAATTGTTCATTTTTTTAGATATCCTTTGGAGCTGATGTTGGTGGTGGTGAGCTGTTGAATACAGCTCACCACCACCAACATCAGCTCCAAACACCAGCATCAGTTGTAACAACATGCAAAAGCATCAGGATAGGGGTAAAATCCTCAATTTCTACATATGAAGCTACATCAGTATTCCAGCTTTGCATGTCCAAAGTTGATACTCTGGTTTTAAGTAATCAAATACAACAGAAATTTCTGAAAATGTTGATAAAAAGTATAAAGATAGTGCATTTGCAAAAATATCAAAGGTAGACCTTAAACTTTATTAGTAAGAAATGTGCCCATAATCATCAAGTTTAATAAAATATGATAATTTTAATGAATTGTTTGTATTCTAAACCTAAAAGTTTGCTTATAATTAGGCTTATCATAATATTTTTTTCTCAAATCGGGACAATTTTGAGAAAATACTCACAACAGAAAATAAAGCCTACTAGGATAAGTAAATATGATTGAAAAGGCTAAATAAAGAAGGTGTAAACAAAAACAACGAGTTGAAAGCACTTTTTAATAACTCAACTAAACATATCTTGTTATTAAGAAGTTATTAATATTTTTCATTAGTGTGAACTCTCTTTAAAATTTTTTTTGTCACTTAAATAGGTACATTTAAAATATGACAATATATTTGAGAAAGTTTCTATTATTCGCCTTATGTTTCATACATTTCAAGTGATTTTTAATATTTGAACACTCACCATGAGTTGCTGAAAATTCTGAAAAGCACAATTCATATTTCACTTCATCAATATGATCACAGACTTTTTCAATCATCAGTAAACACAGGTTGCTTTTTACCATTTTAGAGATTAAATTAATTTAATGTACAGTACGAAATAATCACAAATGCCGACTAGCAATTTGAACTCAACTAAGATATGACAGTACTTGAGTATGCAAATTATTTGAAAAACTCATCATTTTGCTTGACTATATATAAATTAAACAAAAATGACTAAAAATTGCAATATCAATAATCTGATTACTATAAATAGCAACAGCTTTATTCCAAATTCAAATCCTATATGCTAATACTAGCTGTTACCTGCAGCTTCGCCCACACGGATTTTGCAAGCAAACCCCACTTATATTCAGTATTCCAACAACCATAGTAATTATTATATAACACCTACCGCTGAGAATGATGAGAATTGCCGAAAATATTTTTAATTTGATCAATTTTCTGGAATGTTTACAATCGTTCTATAATTAAACCAATATGCAGTAACAAATTCGAATTTAAAACAGTTTGAACATTTTTAAAATCGAAATAGATAAAAATATTTATAACAATGTTTGAAATGTTATCAATTTAATACACCTAAGTACTCGATGAAGACTAAATCCTCTCCCTCTCCCGCCCACAAGGGAATTTCGAAAAATCCCTTCTTAGTGTGCATTCTCATGGCATACCCTATCACAGTGCAGATAAAAACAAAAAATTGCATCTAAAATAGTACAGTAAAAGCCATTGTTCCGGTTAAGCCTTAATCCTCTCCCTCTCCCCCATGGAGGAATTTCGAAAAATCCCTTCTTAGTGTGTGTTTCCATGACGTACCCTAACTGTTTACCAAATTTCACCTCTTTAGGTTAAGCAGTTCGCTCTGGGTGATGATGAATCAGTGAGTGAGTCATTCAGTCAGTCAGGACAAGCAATTTTATATACAGTAGAACCTCCATTATCCGGACCTCCATTATCCAGATTTTCGATTATCCGGATTGTTCATAATAAACAAAAATTTTACGAATTTGCTGATTTGCACTTGGCGAATTACGACACTGTTTATGTACATGATGGAATGCATAACTTTTTTTGTTTCAACAACGTCTCACCCAGCACAGTGGTCGTAAACTCTTAAATATATTTTACGTCGTAATAAAAATATAACTTGACATACGTATT